AGTACATGCTGAAACTCAAAAAAAAAAAAAGTCATCGGTATGGAAGTTGTGAAAAAAAAAAATAAAAAAAAAAAAAAAAAAAAAACGGTTTTAGAAAAGAAAGTAATATTGGAAAGCGGTGCGGTGCAGAGAAAGATGTAGACGTGCTCGTGTTCGCAGTTGGTCCTTGGCTGCGGTTTCTCTAGACGTTTTGAAGGAAGTGCCTGCATCGCTTCGTGGGGCTTCGTGCTGTTTGGTTGGTGGTTTCGGTGAAAAGGTCAAGACTTGGAGCATTCTTGACAGCGCTGAGACTCTCTGTCTGAGAATCTGAGTTGATTATAGTGATGCACTTTGAAAATAAACCCAAATACCTCAGCTTTCAGCGAAGGGGCGTCCCGACTGCATTATTGGACGGCAACGGCAGCCGCAGTCTTTTTCAATATTAATATTATTACAGCATTGTCAAAATACCTATGTTTAAGTATAACGTTTCAGAATAAGACCGTGCCGGTGAGAATGTGCAGATAACTGAAGATAAAATAACAACATATAAAAACGGTAGAATGAATTTTGCATTTTCTCCAGTATACACCTGGATTGTAAAGATATTGTTAACAAAACTTGTCTAATAAACCTGATGGATGTTTTCTGTAACGGGAAACTTTTCCAGGAACAAGAGTGGTTTTTCTCTCCATTTAAACTTTATTTACCAGGGCAGAAATAAATTACTGGATATAAAGCTAATGTGTAGATACTAATTGTTTTACCAGGAGTTGTTGGATGGACAGACATGGAGGGAAATTGCAAAAGAGTTCCAATTGGTTGGATTTATTTAACATTTTAATTCAGTCATAAGTTTAAAATGGTCTGATCTTTTATTTTCTGTTGACTTTAACTGCAGTGGATTTTATACATGCACATTTTTGATCAAGCCCAAAGTATATTTAGCCTGAAGGCTGTTGTAATTGATGGCTAAATGAGCCTTAATTTACTTTTACTGCCTTCCGCCTGATGATGTTATTGACATAAATGAACTTTAACTCGTTTCATTCCTTTTAACACTCTAATGCTAATTAGCAGAAATTACACCACGGTAACAGTTGTAACTGGTAACATTTTCCTCAGTTTATATCAGTGAAAGAAAGCAGCATTTTACTTCTTTTTTTTTTGGTATTTATATGAATGCTGAACTTTGAAATCTTCCTTTTAGACCAAATGAAAAGTGAAACCAGCAGGTGGGAGAGATAACGAGGATTCTTCGGCCCACGCTAGAATGTAAACAATCGCGCGTTTTTGAACAGTATATGCTCACTCTCTGTTTTCTGCTCTGCTATAGCTTCATTTTATTAAATAAAACACAATCAGGACAAAAGTAGTGTTGCATACCAGTAATGCTTAACAAAAATACAATCAGATTTGTTTTTCTCAGCTAATAAATTTGTTGGGAATAAAATGGGATACATAAAGAATCCAACTCCCTTTCTTGCTCATTCCTGCTATATTTCTTATCATCTTGTGATTCTTTTACCCCCCTCGCCTCTTCCTCCTCTTCATCATCATCTCCATACTGTTACAGCGCTCATGGTTGTACCTCACGTACTCCTCTCTTCCCTTGATCCCCACGTTATCTGGCCATAAATATACATAAACGCATCTTGACGGGGAACACACTCCCATGCATGGAAACAAAAAAACAGGACCTCACATGCAGAGGGTATTTTAGGATCCACATTCAATGTTGTTTTTTTTTTTTTTTTTTTCTCTCTCTGCAGTCCTTCCCGGCTGCTTCCCTTATCAGCTTTTCTGCTTTTACATTTATTACTGTCAGGCTGCAGTCAGCACGCACACACGCACGCGCACATCCACACACACACACACACACACACACACACACACACTCAGAGCTGTGTGTGTTCGCCTTCATCTGCCCCTCTGCAATATTTTCCTCCATCTCAGTTTTTTTCTCTCTTCCCCCCCCCCCTCCGCCGTTCTCCACCAGCTCATGCATCTTTCTTCTTATCTCTGAATGAATGAGCACAGCGCGGATAGTCTGGCTGTTCTTCGGTCCGTGCGTATGCGTGCGCCGTGTGTTGTGCTCTTGAAGGATTCTCGCAGATTTCCTGCACGCGTGTTCAGCCTCCCGTTTGAACCTGAACGCAGCTCTGGTGTGAGTCACTGATCTAGCAGGGAGCTGACTGCAGTACTTCTATTGTTCGGGCGGTACGGCTCGTTTCTCTGCTTTTACTCCTCAGGTTCTCGGGGCGTATGCTGCGAAATCCAGTGTAAACATACTGTACATATTCTGCATTTCTTGCGCCTTACCTTATTTGTAATGTCAATGTTAAAAGTGAAGCAGATTATACTACTGGTCCCCTCTTCTTACTCTATTAAGTGATTTTATTGTTTATTTTCATTCACTAAGAGGATGCATTACCCTTTATCTTTTTTCAAAAATGTTTTTCTTTCTTCCTATTACATTCATTTATCTTTGTTCTTATAATATCACACCCAACATTTAATAGACTTTAGGTCTGGCGTTTTGTATTTAATTTATGGACCCTCAAGATATAAATCAAGACATATTAATCAATAATGCATTATTTATGATCGTATTTCACACTGTTTAAAATCAAACACACTGACACTCATTTACCACCCTACTGCCAGACCTACACTGCATCTGTGTTTCCTCTATCGCCTGGAAATTTTTATTTTTTGTTGTTTTAAAATAGCAGACAGCAAAGATCACCCCACTCACCTTTAGTCACTTTTACCTTTTATTTGCACCTAAAACAGTGTTTGTATTTTTTTTCTTTCTTTCTCAGCTCCACTAACGAGGTGAAGAATCTGCTCCAGTCCATGCCCCGGACCAGCGAGCCCAGAGAGGTTCTGTTCGAGGACCGGACCCGTGCCCACGCCGACCACATCGGCCAGGGCTTCGAGCGTCAGACCACGGCGGCCGTGGGAGTGCTGAAGGCTGTCTGCACCGTAGAAAGGTAGAGGAAAAATAAATAAAAATAAAAAAATGCACCTTTAATGGCAGTTTGCCCAGAGGTGACACACGCTCAATGTTTACACAACTCACTCCGTGACAGATGGAGTGTAATCGCTCAGTTTTCCTCCACCTACCCTCTCTGCCTTATTTTCAGGTCGGAGCCGCCTCGTGTCACCAAAGACGTTGTTTGTTTCCATGCTGGGGATTTCCCTTACGTCGTTCAGAGGCTGCAGTTGGACTTGTACGAACCGCCGCTGTCTCAGGTGTTCATTTACACACAACCGCAAACAAATAACCGCACGCGGCGCAGCAGCATCTCCAGCTAGACGCAGAACACTGCAGCGTTAATGATGCTCAAGTCAAACAGAGGATCAACACTGCCATCTGGTGGAAAAAAGTGTCCTCATCTCCGTTTTGATACCATAAGGAGACTTTCGTATTCACATTGGTCAGTGGTTTAAAAAAAAAAAAAAAAAAAGACTGAATGAGATGGAAAGTTGATATCAGACACAACCAGATGGTTGTTGCTTTGATTTGTGGCTTTCCAGATGCGTTGTATTTTTCCTAAAAAGCTCACTAAACTTCAATGACTTGTGCAGAAAAAGGCGAAACAAAACAAGCCTTCAAAAATGAAAAGGCTTCAGAAACCATTACAAGAAAAAAAAAAAAGAGTTCAAGAAAAGCAACTCGTCTTCAAACAAAATGCAACTCATTTCTTTCAGTTTTGTTGAAATGCACGTTTGGTTTTATACCTTATTGTAAAACCGAACATGTTGCCATCTTACAGTTTTATTCTGTTCTTGCTTTAATGTCACATTTAAATTGTTTCAGATCATTCAACTCAATTTAATATCCAACATAATCTATTGAATACAAAAAGCTGTTTTTAAATGATCATTTCTTCAGTTTGACAGGAAACCAACCTGGCCGAATGTGTAAATATAACCTTGTTAAGTCATAATTGAACTGATTTACCACACGTAAACACAAACACTTGATCACTGCTAGATGATTAGAAGCAAGAAATAACCTAAATTATTCCAGGAGAGTTAAAAAAAAAAATCCAGGAGGTTACGAAAAAAGCCAGAGCAACATGTAAGGAACAATAACAAAGACTAGGTAAAACTGAAACATTTTAAACAAACAGCTGCTGATTAAGTTACATTTTACTCCTCGTTTTGCATTGAGCGATTTTGTGTCTGCTTCGACTGCAGCTCTTTAACGCCCTGGGTGTAACCGTCCTCTTCGTCCTCTCTCCGCAGTGCGTCCAGTGGGTGGACGATGCCAAGCTGAACCAGCTTCGGCGGGAGGGCATCCGCTACGCCCGCATCCAGCTTTGCCACGACGACATCTACTTCATCCCCCGCAATGTGGTCCACCAGTTCAAGACGGTCTCAGCCGTCTGCAGCCTGGCGTGGCACATACGCCTGCAGCAGTACCACCAGGAGGAGGAGGTGAAGGAGAAGGCTACGGTGAAGGAGGAGGAGACATTGATTCTGGCTGAGGAGCAGGGTGGAGAGAAGAAGGAGAGGATAAAGGGGGAAGAAGAGGAGGTGGCTGTGGCAGACAAATGGACGTCGCACACTGACAAAAAGGAAGAAGGCGATGATCGTCTTCTGTCGCCTCAACCCTCGGACGACATCTCAGATGCCAGCAGAGACGAAGAGGAGGCGATGCGAAGGAAAGAAGAACCTCACCGGGTTTCTCCTCCTGAAAAGATGAAGACAGAAGCTCCGACTTCTCCTCCCTGCAAGAATAAATCGCCCTCTCCTCTTCATCTCCCTCCCCCTGCTTCTCCTCATAAGGACATGAAGTCCAAAGCCTCAGCTAAGCCTCACCTCCACAGTCCACCTGGCAGCAGGACGGCGGCCTCCTCCTCATCTCAGAAGCCCCCCGGTTGCTCCAAGTCTTCCGCCAGCGCGTCGTCCTCGCCTCCAGCAGGAGCCGCCTTCACTTCCTCGCACACTGTGTCTTCTACCTCCCCGTCTCCGTCGGCTTCCTCTCCCTCTCTGACGAGTCCCACGTCTGCAGCAGAGGCTCTCGTGAAAACTCTTCCTCCTTCAAGAGTTTCCTCTTCCCTCCAGCTGCATTCGTCTTCCCATTCGGAGCAGCCGGACGATTCCCGCACAAAGGACTCCACCCGGACTCCGGCGCCGTCCGACGTACAGACTTGCTCCGCCCCGGCCGAGCGTTGGACCCGCCCGGCGGCGGACACACGGACGCAAACCGCCTCCGATTCGGAGACGAGGACTCGCGGCTCGGATCCCGACTCCAGGACTTGTGTTGATGTGCAGCAGCGACTGGCGCCAGACATGACCCGGGGAGGGGTGTACATGCAGCAGTACCCCCCCCAGCACCTCCCGCAGATGCTCCCCCCTCCTTTTCCTCCTCTGCTCCCCCCACACTCCCACCTTCAGCCTCACATCCTCCCCCAGACGCCCGTCTCCAGTCCCCATGAGCACCGCCCTCTGAACTCCTTCCTCAGTCAGGCGGCGCCACCCCATTCGGTTCACCTGGGCCACCTGCACCCCCCCCACCCGCCCAGCCTCACCACACAGTCTCAGCCTTACTTCATGGGCCCTCCCTCCTCCTCCCCCTCTCAGCCAAACGCCCCCCTCACCAGCTCCCAGTCTCTCTCGCCTCATTTCTCCTACCATCACCAGTTCGCCAAGCCCTTCTTCCCCCCACAGCACCCCGGCTTCCCCTCTCACCCCTTCCTCCCTCATCAGTCCTTCCTCCCGCAGCCACCCACTTCTTACCCACTGCAGCCACAGTACCAAACCTCAGCATCGGTGCATCCCCAGCTGCTTATGTCGCAGTCGTTTACCTCCCCTCACCCCCCGCCTCCCCCGTCCTCCACGCCGCCTCCGCCCCCTCCCCCTTTCCCGCCGCCTCCCCCCTTGCCTCAGTCCTCCCCTTCCATCTTCCCCTCTCCCCCCGAGGCATGACATCGAGCAGAAACAGATTTTATATAGGAGTATTTGTACATACCGATGGTAAATTTAAATAACTGTATATGTAGGAGGCTTTGTTTTGGTTGTGCTGTTGTAAAGCTGTACAAAGGAAGTGAGGTGGGAGGAAGTAAAGTTTTGTTTGTTTGTTTGTTTTTTTTGTTATTGAGCAGAGTGGGACTAAAACACGGTGCCTTTCATAAGAATTTATACCCTTAACTTCTCATTTTGTCACCGTTCAACCGTAAACTTCAGTGCATTTTTATCAGGATGTTATAGGATGGACCAGATGTTTGTAATCTAGAAATGGAAGGAAAAATGCTACACAGTTTTAAAACTTTTTAAGGCCACCTTTTGCTGCAATTACGTCTGGAAGGCTTCTTGAGTTTGTTCATGAAGAAAAGTATTCCCACATCATGCTGCTGCCTCCACCGTGTCCTACAGTGGGGGATTAGGAGTTCATCCCGGGAGTCTGCAACTTTTACCATCCAAAGAGCCATTGTTCCCCTCAGTCCAGCTAAATAAAACAGATCTGGATTTACAAGTATGACCTTACCTTTTGAAAAAAGATATCTTACAATTTTTATAATTACCCGCTTTAAGTAATTTTTTAAAGAGCAAACATTTTACTCCTATTTTTAGGTGTTTTTTTTTTTTATCACAAAGGAAAACAAGACTTATTTTCAAAAATATCATGGCTATTTTTTTTATATTGGATGTTGATATTTGCATAGTTCCCAGCCTGAAAATAAGAAAAATATAAAAATGACAGGTACTTAAGTTTCATTCTGTTGTGGAAATGAAACTGAAAAATAGCTCAAACTTGGATTTCTGCTCTTTAATCATTTTTAGTCAAAGTTTCTAAGACTCCAAACAGCCGGTGGTGGCTTCAGAGCCAACGGTTGCAGACAAAAACCCTTTAAGAACAGACATTTTTTTCCCATTTCACAATCATGCACTACTTTGTGTTTAAAAAAAAAAAAAATCTTTAAAATCACATTAGATTGCGCTGAGGTTTACGACTTTTCATTTTGTGGGTGCCAATCCTCATGCAAGGCATCGTGTCAGCCCGCCCCGCCGCACTAAACTGGCTCAGATTTTTACTGAGGCTTGAAGTATTAAACCGTTTTGCATTTCATTTCATTTGCAGGAAGCTGTTGCTTTTAGAAAGTGAAGGGCGCACCTGTTTTTAACCCCCGAATGATGCAAGGTCGTGGGCTCAAACGAGGCCTCTGGTGTGCAGGTGTGTTGTCCGGTTCTGTTCTCGTCCCTTCGGAGCCGACAGAACCCACCGTCAGACATAGGAAGAAAACTTATTTATTTAAAAGAGCTTTTTAAACTGTTTTTTAAAATGAAACTTGCAGCTAAAGCTTCCATTTTCGGGGGGTTTATTTAATTCAGTTGTGTATTGATACGATACTGCATCACTGCGTCCTCTGTATTTATCAGTACAAGTCGACGCAGATACTGGCTGGGCTTTTCCGCCATGTTGTGTTTAGAGCAATAACCCGCTAAATATCAAACAGAAACCTGTGTCTGTCTTTTTACTCATGTTTTTAAGTGGACAATGGAACATAATAATGAGGAGTGCAATTAATAGACGATTCTAAACTTTTCAAATGTTTCATTGGCTAAAAAAAAAAAAAAAGGAATGTTATGGACTCAACTGCAGGCTCCGTGCGAATTGAAAGTCAGTCCGTTTGCCTTCAGTGGCAGAGCGCTAATGTCATTTTTAATGTCTTCTGGCTGTTTAGATGAGTTTTTGTTGAGGAGTTGGTTCAGCCGCAGCCAAGACGGTCTCAGGAAAACACTTCCATCGGAAAAAAAAAAACAAAAAACAGCTCGCTTTAATGGTTTTACTGCTAGATTTCTGGTTTCACGCAGCCGATAAACGTTCTGACTGAGGTTTTTGCAGATATGCTTCTCCTGTTGAACATTTAAACTTCTGGATTCAAAGAGCAATACAAAGACGTGGGAGGTCAAACCGAGGCACGGGCCGGTTAAAAGAGTATAACCGAGGATTAAACGGCTGCATTAATATTCACCAATATTGTGATTTTTATGGTTTGAGGAATTTCTTTTCTGGCTGTATGGAACATGGTTATACACTGCTGCCCCTCCCTCACCTGTTGCTGCACACTGCCTCGGTCACAAGGTAATTCCGAATGATTCCAGGAGAAATCTATCTACATTTCTCCGGGAATCATTCGGAATTACAAAATAAACAAAACTGAAGAAAAAAAAAACATGATGTCTTTGCGACAGTAGGAAGAATCGATGCCGGTCCGTGCCTGGAGAGTTCCCATATGTGCAACACTTGCTTACTAATCACATTTATTTCCGGATAGTTCTGGATTTTTATGAATTAACGGATATTTCAGGTTCTTCCCAGACTGAAATGTAAACTGTATTCAGTCCTTTTTTATTTTTATTTATTTATTTGTTATTGACACTTAACAGAACTGTCTGGAGCTCATCCCCAAAGCGTTATTTATCGGTTTACCAGTCCAGTTTTGCCACATTGTTCAGATTTTTTATTTATCAACCAGAGACTGGAGGGACTTGTGTGCCGTCTACATCTGCGGAAGTTTAACAATGACAGCAACTTTTTTTTTTTTTGTCACCAGTGTCTTTTCTTAAATTATTTTCATTGTCTAGATTAGAGTGCAGTCCACTAGCTAATGTAGCCCTCGACATTTCCCCAGTGCCTGTACTTAACTGTGAACTCCTCAGTGGTCCAGAGGCGCTCGGTGCAGGGAGTTTCATCCGTTTTATGAGTCGCAGTTGAAGTTCTCTCTGAAGTACGAGAGCACCGCCTTAAATTGGGTTCCCACATCCGCCGAAAAGCCTCTAAATATCTACGTTTCAAATGGGGAAGACTTAGAAGGACGCCAACCTCAAAGAAGGCTTTGAATTGTTCTTCCTAAATATTGCCACAAGCCTGCGAAATCCAGATAAATGTAAGAATGACGCCTCAGCTTTTTTTTTTTTTCTTTTCTTTTTTCTTTCCTGCCTCAAACGACCCAATTTGAGCGACCTTACTCTGTGTATCTCTGGGGAGATAAAGTTTGATAATGAAGCACGATCAACAGTCTTAAGGCGCTCTGCAGCTCGTTTTGTGCTTTTTGGGTTTAAATGTTACAGAAACATGTCAGGATCTTCTTTTTTTTTGTACAATTGTAACAAAACCTCTGGTTGAAAACAGATGTCCTCAGGGGCTAGCATTGTTTTCACAGGATTTATTTATATCAACGATTGTTTTGTTTTGTTTTTTTGTTTGTTTTTTTCATTTTAGTTATTTCAACTGTCAGCACTGTAGTGTACATAAGAGGTTTTTGTAAAGAGGAAAAAAAAACTTGTAGTGTGGTTTCTACTTTAAATATGAACCTAGCTAATAAAAGGTTCAAAGTATGAAAATCGTTTGTATGTTTCTGTTCTCTCGTTTGAAATCCTCATTTGTCATTGTTAAGAAAATAAATTTAGAATATGCTAGTTTTAAAACTTAACATGTCTTGATTGAAATACCCTAATTATAGTTTTCAGATTAATAACTTATTCTGCCCTATTGACCTTTATTTTATCTGTAGTTGCAGCAGATTGTTTGCTAAGATCTTTTTGAAAGTGCCTTTTGTCTGTCTGGGAAACAATCAGGAGAAGTTCCAGCTTTTCACACTCATCTGTGAAAAGCCATAAAACAGCAGGAGTCCAGGCCAGTACAGGAGAGTCTCTGCTTCCACTCTGTTCAGACAAAGGGGACAAGTGGCTTTTGATCTTGGAAACAAATTGCAGGGAGTTTCTAACTTTAGAGAGGGTCAGAGATAGCTCCTGGTTGGATGAGCAAAGATACACCTTATTTGAATAAATTGAAAGACAAGAATACGCCTTTACTATAAAAATTTGTGCACGTGAGGAACAAACTAGATTTGCTCTTGCAATTCTCCAAAGACGTCTTTGCTTTTCTTTCTTTCCTTCTTCTTTTCCATCAGGTAAAAGAGGTAAAATGTCTCTGTTGTTCTGCAGTTTCTGTTGTAATTTCATACGTTGTCTTCTATTGGATTAAACTCTGCAATTCTGTGACGTCAACACTCATTGTTGTTTTCTGTGTGGCTACACGCGGTCCGCCGGGAGAACCTGGGATCCGTAAGAAGATTGAGCCAGAGATATTTCCCAAAAATATCTCTTCAACATCACCTTAAGACAATTTAAAAAAAAAAAAAAGTTAAAATTCTTATACAATTAAATCCTATTTTAGTTCAAATCATAACAAAATGATGCATTTAGTCTGATTACATGAGCAAAGTAAATTACATATTTATCTTCTGGACTTAGCTACATGCTAATACCGTAGACCTGCCAGCGTCACTGGAATGTGACACAAAAGCTAAATGCAAAAGACAGACTGATAGTAGAAGACCTTGAACATATCGCCCTTCTCTGTTAATAAGACTGTTAACAAAAGCAAAGGTCATATGAAACTCCACAAAGCTTACAAAATATTACCACATAAACCAGCTGGTGTCAGTTCACACAGAGTTAATGGAACAGTGAACGACTAATGTGAGTTTAGAACAAGTGATCACAAATAGTCCAGTTCTAAGAGAAATAACATTTTTTACTTTCTATGGAACAGAAATGCAGTTGACAGGTCTGTCATTGGCTTTGTTCAGGAAAAAGACGGAATTAATAACTGAACCAGACGTAGAAATAAAAACAAAAGTACTGAAAATTAATGGCAGCAGTAGTTCTGTCGAGAATGTAATGTTCTGTTCATATTTGTGTTAAAGATTCATGAATAGAAGCTATATAACAGGCAACTTAACTTTTTAGAGAAAATAATGTTAACAAATACAAGTAGATTTTTTTTTCTCTGCTTTGTAGTTATTTTTCTCCTGTGTGTGTTTTGTTTACCTGCCTGTATGTTCTTTACAGCTGTTATGCAACCACCCGCCGCCTGCAGTCTGCATCACGAAGACCACCACTGTGATTCAGGCAGACAACACACACACACACACACACACACACACACACACACACACACACACACACACACACACACACACACACTCTCTAATGCTGTGGCTACATAATTCAGTGCTGGTTTGCTTTGGCTCAAATTCACCTCAAAGCTAAATTTTCTCCCTGCTTCTCAGATTCCTGCGGAGAATCATTTCCTGCTGCTGTTATTATCCTTCTGTCGAGTTATTAATCATTAAGTGTAATATTGGACAAACTTTTGCATGCGTGGTGTGTTGGCTGCACGTCAGATGAGCTGAAGTTTCCTTTAAAGGGCAGCCACTCTTCTGGCGGTGTGCCTCCTCCTCCTCAGGCTATTTCAGATTGTGTCTTGTTTAGATTTCCCCCAACAGCTTTATTATCTCCTAATAAGTGAGCCTCCTATATTTGCAAACTCTTCAGTATGAATATGAACTGTAACCAAAAAAACAACTAAACTAGAAATCAGTCATTTATTAATTACAACGCATGCATATAGTCTTAAACAGTGTTTTCTTTTCATTTTTTTTAATAAAGTGCAACAAAAAAAAAATACTGAAAACAAGTGTTTGGAGCAATTGTTGGCACAAAATAAACATTAGTGGTACAAGAATGAATTTAGACTGAGAGCCAATCCAGAAATAAACTGCTGGTAGAAAGGGTTCCATTTGGATCTACTCTGCATGCAAAGAGAGTGACAGTTTATGAGACGCGTTACTACTTATAGAGTAGAAAAAGGAGCTTGTAGAAATCAAGGAGCAGCCAGAGGATGAATAACAGGGATGGTGAGTGCTAGCAGCTAAGCTAACTCCCAATATGCCAGCTGTGGAATGAAACGAGTGTGGAGGAATGCAGCCAAAGCACATGAAACTCAAGTATAACAATTACAAAGTAAACAATTCAAATACTAAAAAAAACAATACTGACCATGACAATTTTTGTTTTTAATTTTCTTCAGTGTTGGCTTCACAGTAGATTAACAAACAGCTGTTGTTCAATAAAGAATTGAAGCTCTGGGGACTGATTGACCAGCTAGCAGCTTCTTTTAGACAATTTCAGCTTCATAACCGGGCCGTTCTCTTACTACTCAAAAAGTGAGTTGAGACAACACTGCGTCAAGCCTCTCTTCTTTCAGGACAAATATTCAGCCCCAGCTCCACCAGTGCCCCCAGCAGCATGGTCCACAGCGGTATGCAGACAAATGTCAGCTTCACGTCGGCCAGCTTCTCCAGCTTGGCGCACAGCGTCAGGCAGAAGCCCAGTTTGAGCAGCATGGCGGTCAAGTACCAGGCGCGCAGGCGCAGGGACGACGAGCCGTTGCGCAGGTCGTACCCGAGTTTGCATCGCCCCGCCATCTTGACGGTGAGCATGAGGATGAGGATGCCGTCGAAGACCCAGACTGGGAGAAAGATAAGGAACCAGTTCCATTGCACCTGGAATGAGGAAGAGGAGATGATCATGATTAAGGTATTGAATAATTGTGAAATAAATGGAAAATTAATGAGTACAGATCTGAAAAGTGTTGTGCACATTTGTATTCAGGCTCCTTTACTCTAACCCTAAAATAAGATCCAGTCCAAACAAATTTAGCTATTGTATTAATAGTGAATGTTTAGTCTCAGTAGAAAAAGGTAGAGGTTTGCAATCCAGCTGGTCAACTTTAAACATAAGACCAGAAGTACAATGATGGCTCCGGTCTAGATAAAAGAATATTAATGCTAGAATGGTCTAGTCAAAGTCTAGATCGGAGTCAATCTGAAAGTCTACTGCAACCATTTCTAGCTGTGAAAAACCTGTAGCTGTAATTCTACCAGAAGGTATTGTCTCAGAGGAAATGAATGCAAATACACACCACAATTATTATTTTTTATTTGTTGAATGTAAAATTAAAACAATAAAACAGTTCGATCACAAACAGAGGTCAGCATACCTTCCCATCCAGTTTGAGCACCAGCATGATGAGAAACACCAGGGTAAAGACCCAGGTCAACAACACCCTCTGGGCCAGAGACATCTCACTATGCGGACATTCATCAGAGGAGAAAATAAATTCATGGTAAACACGCAAAAAGCTACTGCTTTATCAATGATGATAATCACTTATTACTTGTAATAGAATTGTATGAAGTTAAGAAGAACAGCGGATAAAGCCGTTACCATAATAAGCCTGTCAGTTACAGTCTTGTTGGTAAAATATATTCATTTGATATAGTACAAACTGAATCTATATGTATTCAATTAAAGCTTTTCATTCATTGTAAGCAACGGGTTGCTCTCAGCTAGCTCAAATAGCATTGTGCTAATCGACTGGTTGACTTACATTAGTGTATTCCCAACTCTATGTCAAGCATCCTCTCGTCTCTCTCTGCACCTCAAACATAGATCATCACAATAATATCACTGCCTATCAATTACATTATTAAGATTATTATAGTCCACAGCTATAATGACCACAGTCCCGTTATCTTCGGGTTTGTCCCGCCCCTCCAAGAATACGATTGGTTTCCTTTACGTTGGTCGTACGTTCCATAGACATAAAAGAGTAGAAGTTGAACTTCGTACGTCAACGTCACCGCCATGTTTTGAGTTGCATCTTTGTTGGAAGCAAGTAGATTTGGTTGTTATTATAGCTGCAAATAAATTAAATGTGGTGCTTCGGTACATTTGAAAACGTCATTGTACCTCCACTCTTAAATATTTTTGGCAAAACAAATTAGCTGAACTTAAAACAGTCAAAACTAGGTTAGTTAAATGTAGTTCTTTGGTATATTGTTCATTTTTATTTTAATGGTCATGATTAGTTCTAAAATGAGCACATTTTCCACATTTATAATTGATCCATTGTTTATTTTTTTTTTACATGTAAACTTAAATGTTTATTTTATACTAAAACCCCGGTCTCAAAGCGAAGTTAAACAGCTGTGCCAGACACAATATGTCGAACGCCCTGACGGTAGCCTATCTAGAACATGTGTAGCCATTTTGGCGTCAAACCGTAAAGGTTTTGTAGATGCGCGCAGTCTGTGGTTAGGTTAGATGTCCACTAGAGGGCGGTAGTGCTTTTTTTACTACTTTATATGTTTATAGTTGTATCCGATTTTACATACAACTATTGAAAACAAAACCAGCAGGATTTGTACTTTTCATTTAAATATTGTTTTGAATCAATTTATACAATTCGTTGTATAAACTGATTGTAAGTGTAAGTTGATCAAAATGTAACTTCACGTCCTCACGAAGCTTTACGGTAATATGCTCCAAGTAGTATTTTGACACTGAGCGTTAGAAAGGGAAAAGCTAGCGTTTCAAACATCACCGAGCAGGACTGAGCATCTCCTCCAGACAATGGGAAAAGCTCTCTAACTCTTTGCGCCATAGTTCACCTTCAGATAGCACAGATATTGGTTTGACGGAGTGGACCTGGAGCAACTGCGGCGTGAAAAGGAGGTAAGACGGAGCTTGTGCTCGTTCAGAGATATTATTAAGCACAGCTGTGCGGGCTCTTTGTGGCTGCCGCCGGTGGCTTAGCTAACTATGTAGCTTGGCTTGAGCTAAAGCACTCAAGAAGACTGGTGGAAAACAGTTTCTGCGCCCCAATACGTGGTAATTAGCTTTTAAAAATAGCTGCTTCACATGCCGTTACAGCGCCACAAAGGTTACGATCTTTTGTTTCTCTGAAAAACGCAGTGACACTACCTTCCCCCTCCTCCGGCACTAAAATCACCCTACTAACCCTTTAAGCTAAACGTTTAAATTCGGCTATATCTTTGGTGAGCAAACATTAAAGGGTTAATGCGGAACTAATCTAATTTTAATACAAAAACACTATGCGTGTGGCTCATTTGTGGTTGCTGGTTATGTGTATTTTCAACATGGTGCAGGAGATGGATGCCTCACTAGGTTTAAATATTTCTTACTCGGTCAACTGTACTTGCTCTCAGTAAACCAAGCAATGTTTTCCCCTGGATAGTGGGGTCAGCATCCTTTTTAAGATACAGTTTGGCCATTGCATCAACAATGCAGAAGGCTTTATAGATATGACACAAAATGAAGTTGAATTACAATATTTAGATTTTATTTTTCGGACAAAGAAATACAAACCTTTACGAGGGAAAGAAGACTTTATGTAGATTAGGCAGTGCTTTATCCAGTTTCCTATGCACACAGGTAGCAAGTCAAGTTCAAACATCAGAATAGAGGGGAAAGAAAAGAGGATTTAAGTGACTTTGAACTTGTCTGGGTTGTACCTCTGTGTATTTCAGAAACTTCCGATCTGCAGGGATTTTATGCTTAATCATCCCTCCCTTTTGAAGTGGATGCTTGAAAGAGAAAATATCTTATGAGCAGCAGTTGTGTGCAATGGCCTGACGGGTTCAAGATCACAGAAAGGCAACAACAGCTCGATAACTTATGGATCCAATGCATAAAACCATTTCAGAACACAAAACTCATTGAATCTCAGAGCAGATAGATTATAAACAGCATCAGGTATCAATCCTGTCAGCTAAAAACTGCAATCTGCAGAGTCTAAACTTCACTTGTAATGTTCAGGTGATAGGCTAAGATTTTGACTTTAACAATGTGAAAGCAAGATGCGTCCTGCGTTTTGCATCCAATTTTCTAAACATGTTAAATTATTGTTAAAGCTGTAGAAGTGGTTGGTTTTTCTATTTTCTTGAAGCTTTTTGCTTGCTGTAAATATTTATGTGATACAAGTTAAGCCATTTTATTTGCACTTAACATGAAAACCTTGGACCAACCTATATTTAGTATTGTTGAGGCGTATAATAGCATACAAGATGTACGTACCTGCTGTTGTGAAGTGCAGTTTCTGATAACTGGTAACTTTAATTATTTCTTTTTTTATCTGATCAGTATGTATTATTTTTTTTAGACTCATCATTTTATGATAAAAATATGGATCTTTTTTCAGGGGGTATTTTTGGGTGTTGGTGTCTCTGCTACTGGATTGTGTGCAAACATTGATCTAACTGTAACCTGAAGATGCAAATAAGCTTTTTTCCCCCCCAAGGTAAACAAATTCTCCATTAGATGGGGAAAGTCAGCATGACGTTTGAGGGGTAAAGATGTAGGGACAATAGACTCAACTCAACCCCAACTGAAGTCACTGAAAAACATTTGAATTGTTTGAGCCCATTTTTGGTGCAATTGGGTAGATTGGCGTACTTAACTACCAAAATAGATCATGCGATACTATTACTGCATTACCCAGTATGTTAGGGCTCATACAAAAATCTGTTTGGAGTCTATTAACGAGTAGTTAAGTTTCTAAATATGTAAATCTGTATTAAAATTGAAGAATGTGTCTCCATCCTAAGTGAACAATGAGCCCGGTTTGAGAACAGGAAACTCAGATGTTATCCACAATAGTGAATTTTTCTCCTTTGAATGGTGTGTATGAGACGGAGAATATCTTATCAAAAAGAGTGTAAGTCAGCAGAAATATCCCCACCACCAGATCCATAGAAGCACAAAAAGACAAAGGTGAAGCTTAGGCCTATGTTTACATACACGACTGGGAAAATTTAGTGTTGTATTATACTTAAACATTTCAGATCATCAAGCAAATTTTAACACCAAACATAGTCAAGATAACCAAAGTAAATCACAGATTACCAGTGTTGTACTTCTTTTAGTGGCTGAATTTCACAAGCAATACCAGTATAGTGGGCTGAAATATCCTAAAATGTAACTACTTTGTAACTAAAACTTATTACAATAATAGTCATTTTGAAACCATTTTCAAGTAATATATTTCAAGTTGATCCTCTCAAAGACTAACGAACTGTAACTTTGTAGAGAACACTCCACACTGGAATTGAAGACTTTTTCAAATATCCAAAATAAAATACAACCACAAAAAGAATACATAAAAGGAAATAAAAACCACATACAACCAAAACCATAAAAACATGATTACGAAGTCTCTGTAAACAAAATTGCCCTTCAAAAAATATTCATAAGAATGGAAATAATCAAGCTAATTGTTAATTGAATAATTGCTTATTTCTACAGGTGTGTGTGACCTTTAAAGAAGCCGTTTACGTGCAAAACCTCCACAACCTGGCTGTATTATAACAACTCTGGTTGTTGCCACCAATTGTGGCACAACCAGTGAGGTGGGCACCTTGTATGGCAAGACTGGCGTGTCAAATATCTTTCTATATTGGAGGTATATTTGCCATCATTTTATTAGTCTATGTCAGAAATAAAAGTATTACGTATTTACAGTTTGTCAAATAAATATGAACGTGTTGAGCAGATTACACTTTGTTTTTAAAACTTTTGACTGCTATAGGAATGATTAGCTGCAGGATGATGCAGCATTGTCATTTGACACTCTTTGAACTCTAGAATGTAGTTTGTCTTAATTGGTGGAAACATGTATTGGAGCTGGTATGTGACTTTTATGACTAGTTTGCACAAACACTGTTCAACTGCAACTTAACAATGGACTGATTGACATGCCTTTAGAGTAACATGTGTGGCTTCCATTCCTTTATACTGACAAAGGAATGTCTTCCATGATAAGACAAGGAAGATGCTTAGCTGCTGTTTAATCCCAACTTTTTGCTTTTTAATTAACAGTATGTTTATTACATGAGTGTTTCCATTTGCTAAATCAATGTTTACAAAACACCTGTTTTTTGTAAACATGTCAAACGCTTTTGACATGTGAAAGATGTTATCTCACTTGAAATACTGACATTTTACCTAGTGCGATTATCAGCATTATCAGCGCTGTCCATGATGCAGAAGTCAGACAGTGCATTTTAGTGACGCAGAAAACATCTTATCACAGTAAATTTCAATGTCAACAGAAATGTCTCCACCACCTGATCTATAGAGGCACTAATGAAGAAAAAAGGTACAGCTTCACTAATCATTTTGGGACATCAGTGCATATGTCATTCACACCTTCAACTGGAGATTTAATTATTCATCATACTTGCCATCAAGTCCTACATTTTTAAATCTAAAATGGCTCTTTTTTGCTCCTAAATATTATTTTTCTCTCATTAAAGAAATATATAAAATATTAATAACATTAGACAAAATTTAACATGAAAATCTTGTTCCTGAATAAATTAATAGAAACAATTGTTCTCAAGATGATCTGGAGCTACAGCTGGCAGATTTGACTGTTTTCCCTTTAGAGAGTTTTGTAAGGAGTACTTTTTGGTAAGATTTTATGAAACTTATGTGACATTTCGTATAAAACATGCTCTATTTGCTCTGTATACATGTTCTCGGCCTAAAAATTGGATTAATCTGATACAGTGGATCACAGAGATCTTGAAACCAAGATTTTTCAGGTTGTTTCTTTCTGGCCCTGTTGGGGAACTTAGCATTCCAAGACCGAACAATAGGGTTCAATCGCTAAGTTTGGGTAAAACACCAGAGGAAAAGTCAACATTTGTCTTCCTAAAGAGTTAAAGCTCAGGTCAGGCATTTTCTGTCAGAATTTAAATTATGTAGACAAGTCGTAAGAATCTGCATCTTTGAGCAGAAGCATATGAGTCATTTGTCCTCAGTAGTACCTGTCTGTCAGCATAGCAGTGCATCAGTTTGTCAAAGGGCTCAAAATCTCTCAGTGGATCAGGACGTGTTGTTTGACGCAACTGCCTGACTTAATGTTAGTGCTCATATGTTGTACTTCAATACGGACTCCTTGTATCGCCTCTCTCTCACTCGTCTCAGATGATTGTGAAGTGGTGTGTTTTGTGCCGTTCACCATATAACCATACTGCAGCTTGTTACGTCACCAGCTGCAGTATCCTTACATCACACACAGGACTGCTGTGTCATTTTATGTTTCAGCGGCAACACAGAGGCCTGCAGGGCAATTGTATATTTTACAGAAGCATAAAACATTCTGAGTTGTGAGATTTATTGGCCTTGTTGCTCTGATCCACGGTGGAGTGGATTCTGATTGGTTGTGTTGCAGCCTGAGAAGTCTTGTTTTATTTGCTCTCCACGTCTCCACCAGGACGTCTCCAAATCAAATATGGTGACTTTAACAAATGGGACACAAGTGCAACATTTTCTACTTGGTTCATTTGACTAGTAAAATTAAATCCAGGGTTTTCCCCAGTAACACCACCAGGCTATACTTTTACAATATATTTAAATCTTTTTAAAATGTTTGCATTTTTTTAAGACTTTATAGTTAGTGTTCAGGTATTAGTCTTCCAATCTTTCAATAGTACATAATTATCAAGTGATATTTCCAAATTTCCTGTCAACTTTAAACATTTTTTAAACTCAAAAACACGACGGGCTGGTGGATGAGTGGCTGCCCTAGCATCCAACCACCTGGGTTAGCAAGTTTTCTCGGGGAAACCTTGTAAATTTGATAAAATTGTAATAATAATGTATTGCTGTTGTAGAAGATGTCAGTGAACATTCACAACAAAACCTGCCTTTGACTGGATTAGTTTGAGTTTCAAGTTGATCAGCCCTGACTCCACTCTTCATTGTGGAAGTAGTTAGAAGATGTTGGAGACTTAAATTGGCTAAGAAGAAGGCTGAAGAGAGTACAGCACAGTGGCTCAGATTTATCTTTTTTACCTTTTATATTATCGAACATTTTGGGTTTGGACATCTTGGCAGCCTTTTGGAAATCTGACTTGGTCACTGGTATCTCTCTAAAGAAAATGAAACTGTGGGAAATGAGGGTCAAATTTGCATTTGCCTTAATCTTTAGCTCCCTCCACACATTCTCTCAGATTCAATTTGGTACTCTGGCTTGGCAAATCCAAAACAATATTACTTCTAGACGGGAGATGCAATAAAGCCGAGTCCATGCCTTTAATGCTTGAATTCTGGAAAAAAGTAAATAATCGTCGCATTTTGCAAATGTTCCTTGAAAGTTTTCTGCTTAGCTATGTGTTTGAGTCTAATTTAGCTGTGAGAGGCGTAAATCGGCTGTTAAGTCTGTCACACCCAACCCAACCTAAGATCTAATTACAAATCTGTCAGGATGAAAGACTTTTTTCTGCAGCAATCCATAATCCCGCAAAGTAAACTCGATGTAAGCAGATCAAGTGTCATTTTGATCAAAAGTGATGACTGTGGAGAAAAACAGAAGAATAAGTTCTTTAGTTTACTTTCAGGAGCAAGTTCTGGCAATGACATTCCTATTTTCCCTTTCAGGCACACCACATGCACCACAAATATTTTGAAGCATGGAACAAGCTGCAATAAAAAGGAACTGTGCTCTGATGTTAAATTGAAGAGAGTCTACATCTTCTTTTTAATCCAGTTTTGTATGTTAATGGATAATATTTTAGATCTCACATGGTAAAAATCAAGGCTTACTGAATACAACCAAAGTTTATACAATATCTTTGCTTCTACATTTTTTTCTCTCTATAATCAACTATGTCTTCATTTAGAGGTATGGATATTTGTTACTCAGATTTAGGGATATTTGCAGCAAAAATCCTGATTTTGTGTGGCTCTTTACTGGTTAAAGAAAAAAATTCATGAATCCATTCATTGACTAAAAGCCATCACATTTGCTGTTTTTCTTTGGGTTAATGTTCATCACACTTTATTTTGAAATGCATTTCAGAGTTAATGTAAGAACAAACAAAGTTCTGACCCCAGATTAAACATTGCATCCAGTCAATGAGTCTTGAAGTCGCTTCTTGCACGTTTTGCCCTTACAGTTTATATGAAACTGCAGTGATTGAGTAAACAGAGCAGCTGTGGACGAAGCACCTACATTTTAGATGCAAAAATTGACATTTTTAAATGTCCCTTTTTTTTCCCGTTTTGACATCTGAAAAACACCCTGGAGGTGTAATTTTTTTTCTAACCTAGACTGGTATGCAAATTAAGTTTAAATGAGTTGAGCATGCAAATGTTTTCTCTGTTTTCAGCCGTGGTAACTATTTTACCTACTGTAGGTTTACTGGAGCTCTTCCTGTTGAGGACTTGTGGGGTTTCTCTTGGTAGCAGTGAGCTAATGACTACTAATGCTATAATTTGTTTGGCCTGCAAATAAATGCCAGCCTGTATTTGCTCACATGGTCCTGAAAAGCAGACAAACTTCTGCAAGTAATCAGTGCAAAGCTGTTTTTACCACTGGCTTGGTTGATGCAAACCAGCTAATTTATTCGTTCCCGTATGACGGGGAGACGTTGCGTAAGTCTGATGCTCTCTGAAATGAGTCAGTGTTTCTTCACTTCTGTCGCCAACTTGCACCACTTAAGGAACTACATTTATAGCCTCAGTTTTTACCAGCTTCAGTGGTTTAATTTAAGTCATTTTGGGTGAGTGTAACATAGACAACCAACATGAAGAATAAGGAATCGTAAACTCCTGTTTTTCAGCCACTTCAAAATGAGACACTTTAGTTACTAAAAAGCAGAATATTTATTATTCCTATTGATTGGTTTTATAGAGTAACACAAGTAGGACAAGTTGGTTAATTACTTGGCTCATTTGTTTGGGTTGAGCTCAGCCTAATGTGATTGTCCTCAGGAGCCGGTGTCTTGCAATTTCTCTGTGTCAGCTGTATCAAATAATTAGGACATTAGCAGGACTCTGTAGGACTTTACTGCACACTGAGGTGGTATCACACACAGCTGATTCATTCAGGTGTGTTGAACTACAAACTGAAAGCTGCAGGAGACTGCACATTTCTGCTGTGCCCCAAAAATTTAACTCAAGTGTCCTTTCTTTGTGTTTTGTTCTAACTTTGTTTTTTCCTTTTCTTGCAAGTCCTTTTACTTCTTTTTGTTCATTCTTCCTTTTGTCCTTCTTTCTTAATACTTTCTTCTATGTCTTATTCCTCCTGTCTTTCCTTTCTTGAGTCCTTCTTTATATCCTTCATTTCCTTCTTTAAATGCTACCATTCTTCCTTCCTTTCTTGAGATTTTCCCTTTCCTTCTTTACTTACCTTTTCTACTTCCTTCTTCTCTCGTGACTCTTTCCTTCTTCTTGTTCCTGTCGTTCCTTTTTTCTTTCTTTCTGCCTTCCTTTTCTTTTATGCAGTTTCTGTTTTTAAAGTCCTTTCATTGTAGAAATATCAGCTAATAATTCATTATAAAATTTTTGTATTTCACATTTTCAAGTGAACATAAAGGATAAATTACTCCGGAATGTTGATCTAAAAAAGTATGATGCTTTTACGTGGATAAATTTGCCAGAATTCTGGTTGGGAAAATGTCAGAGCTTTTCGTTACATGAGAAGTTTGACGAAAGAACTGAAGCTCTGTAATTATTCCCCTTTATGCATATTATTATTATGTAATCTTGTTTGTAAGGATCAGAAAAGCTTCATGCTCATATTTACATATGTACAAATGCCAAATATGGTCTACATTTTCTCTCTCTCTCTCTTCTGTGCAGATCTTTGGTCGTGAGGACAAACCGTCACTCAGCTACGAGGCCAGACCAGAGGTGAGTCCCGGTTCTTCCACAAACCCTTCAGACTGTTGTTGTTTTTCCGCTGCTGCATGTTTCAGCTGCTTCATCGGTTGCCATGAGCGTGTGAGCCGCCTACATGCACGCATACGTGTACGGAGCCTTTCTGCTTGCACATCAACAACTCTTCACGAAAACCGATGGAAACAGATGGAGGAATAAGAGTGTGGATTTAGAAAACAAACTTCCTGTTTTGGGAGCGCACATAAGACGCAAACTCAGGGCTCTTATTTTTAGCACTTGTCTGCAAATGCTGGCCTACAGTCAGCAGCAGCAGAAACCTTTTTTTAAGTTTCAGTTCATCTGCGGTTACTTGGTTCCTGCCCAGCAAACTGCAGGAGTCTAGTTTTACATGACCTTTCTGCACAGCTAGCTGCTTTGCATTCTCTCTTAGTTATGCTTTTGTTTACAATTTTTGCAGCTTGGTGAGGCATCCGAATGTCTCGGGAGAAATCAGGACTAGTCACGGGAGGTTGCATGTCTCTAATCCCAATTGTCCTGCTTCAGTGAGTTTAAGACGAGCCTATTTGCAAACATTGGTTACGTCTCGCTGAAGTAAAAATCATTTCCTTGTGATGCAGCCACCGGTCGACTTCTTCCCCACTTTTACAAATGTAAAAGTGAATTGTTGGACCGTTTGGTGTAAGTTATGATGGTAGGAGAATCTTCTCGCTCGATGCAAGCAAGGCCTTCATCATCTTGTTACTGATAAATACTCTTGAACCGATTACCAATCCTTTGACCTTTAATCGCCTCCTGGGCTGGAGTCTCGGGTTTCCTGTTGGCAGGCAACATACTAAATCGCTGTAACACACGTGCCTCCACCCAGCAGAGATGGAGGGGAGAAGCTAGTGTTACACACCACGAGATCGCAGATTCATGAAGGATATCTGCCTCTGACTTACCGCTGACATCAGTTTGTATTTATATAAAGCTGAATTCAAACATATGCCATCCGAGTCTCTGCAGTCCAGAGCAGTCCAGAAATATACACACTAGGACTCTTGTAAACGAATATTTTAGTAGTCAAGTAATCTACCAATTATTCTTACGATTAATCGGATAAAAGAAATTACAAAATAAGATTGTAAACCTTCCATAACACCAGTGTTACTATTGGATATCAATATCAGTCCAATTTTTCATTTTTGAGCTTCCCTAACAGTTACTTTTTTGTAGTTTAGAAAATTAACCTGTAACAAAGTTATACAAAGATCTGAAATTATATTTAATTTAATAATAAAGAGCCAGCTTCACAAATACGCTTACGGGATATTTATGGCACCTTCGTCTGTCACACTCAGAAACCCATCTGAGTGTGATGCCACTCGTTTGTTGAGACCAGAATGACAGGAAATTTATTGTAAAGCTGCACTTGTACTGTAAGCATCAACTACTCAGCCGTCCTCCATGTTCAGTCTGTCCGCTTTACCTGTATAAATACTCCTGCAGCGCTCTTCCCGCTGTTCGCTCTGAACCAGCAGCTCCCGGAGGAGAAAGGCTGCCGTACTCCAGGCATCGCACCAGTCGTTTTAAGGATATTTATTGGTCCCCCAAAAACGATGAAAACCCGGGCATTATCATCAATCAATAAAATCCCCACGGGCCGAACTTGAAGATTGTTCGTTATGCCACTAACGCTTAGCTTTTGTGAACAACTCAGAGGCGGAAGAGCTCTGCGCACCACAAATAATGTTCCGGCTGGAACACGGTGCGCTAAATAATAAAATATAAATTAACGAAGCTTCAAGGCAGGTAAATATTCCTCAAGGAATTTTAATAGTCGAGCTATTTGAATCTCTCGAGGGATTGTTTCAGCCCTAAACATGTGATGTGGCAAGCTTACTCCACAGCAGCCTAGCATAGTTTTCTATGCTTCACTAAGATCAAGGTGTTAGCAAAAATAAACAAGGGTTGCTCTTGATTCTAATATACAAAACAAACCTTCAGACATGTTTAAGTTGACTACAAAAATTAAGCAACTCTGGATGATTTTTAATTATCAGCCTCTTTGGTTGCATGTTACAGCATTTTAATCAGATTTAGGGTTAGTCATTGATAGGTATGTGATGGTGCAAACTGATGAGAAAAGACTGAGAAGGTGCATCAGGTCATCTAAAAAAAAACAAACAAAAAAAAAAAACAAGGCAGGTAATAGGCTTAACAAATTTTACTGGATGATAAATTGTCCCAAAAAATGTGATTATGCAATAATATTTTTGTTTTTAAGTAACATATTTATATTGGTGTAACAAGTTTTCCCTCTCAAAGCTCTTTAATTTTGCACAGAACATGTCACACTTATTTTAGTTATTCAAAATATCTAAAATAAAACACAACAAACACAAAAATAAAAGCAAATAAAAACTACACCAAACCATAAATTAAATGGGATATAAAGTCTCTGTAAACAACCTTTTTCTTTTTAGGAATATTAATTAGCTGAATGGAAATTATGAAGATAATTTTAGTTTACCACAAGATTGTTTATTGCAACAGTCAGGCTTAGCAGATTGATAGCGTTTTGACTAATTATGTAATAATACTTTGTCACCACTTTCGTTACCTCAGCTCAAGCGTTTATGAAAGAATGTGTTGCTTTCAGAAGCTAAATGATAATATGCCAAACGTGAAATAACTCACCAAGTTCCCTCGCTACTCAATATTAGGGCTACTCATAGTAGACTGTGAGCCAGGCCTCTTTGTCCAACATTAGTGCCTGACCTCATAAAACCTCTCCTGGAAGAATGGTCAGATATTCCCATAAACACACCTTGAAGTATAAAGCATTTCATTGACGTATGAAGCTGTTACAGCTGCAGAGGGTAGGGCAATGTCATTTTGCATTAAGGTAAGAAAGAAATTAGAAGTTGTATAAAACAAATCCCCTGGAGTGACGCATGGCTTCCACATACACACCCATTTTCACCCAAGCACACTCGCCACACCCACTCTTCATAGCTCTGAATTGGCTATGGTGAATTCATTTTAGTCCTTGATTGGTGGAAAATCCCAATGTTTGAGAGTTCAGTGAGGTGTTTGTTTTTGTGCACGCAAACAGCCCAGTGGAAAACAACCAACTCTCCGTGGCTTATTTGTTTTTTCATTTTTAGTAATTATTCATACTCCAGCTCTGGACACACACCGGCTGCTTGCGCGTGTTCAGACACTCATGCCATGAGCACAATAACTCTCATTTAAACCATGGCCTACTTAGTGCAGACTGTCCGACTTGACTGCTTTCTCTGTAAATAGGTCAGTTCAGGCAGACTGCCGGTCAGACGGATTTGGCAAGATTCAAGGCTGCAGGCTGTGTGAACATGGATATGGAAAATCTTCTCCAAGAGCTGTTTTTGGAATAACAGCTCTTAGAGAAGCTGATTTTTGTTGAATCAATGACTAAAGCTGGATCATAAAGTTCTAAATCACTTCTTGAATTTGTGGGATTTCCCTCTTGTGACCATCTTAGGATAATAAGTGTTTTTGTGTCGGTTCTTTAAGCTGCATTTCATGATTATCCTTGAGGATAACCCTCATATTTTGGAAAACAATGTTTTAACAAACATGTTTCTTTGTCGCAGGGGTAATTACCCCTCATCACACACTTAGGCTGATGTTTGAAGCTGCATTTGGCAATAATGAGCATCTCTGGGATTGTTTTTGTCCAACAATGTGTGTAGAATCCCAGTGAAGATGAAAATAGGATTTAAAGGCTTTAAGTAAAGAGGCTCTCGCTGTTTTTCCTATCACTGTTTCTGCATGAGGAGGATTTGTGGTCAGAGAGTTGCCAGTCTGAGAGTTTGTGTCATACTCCAGTAATGGTGGGGTGTTGCTCCTTTGGGTTTGTTTACATGGATGTACTTTATTGCAACTGCTTCCTGAATACCTCATGGTGATGTGTGTTTTTGGAGGGGGCGGTTTTTGCAATCCTCCTGTCGGACAATATCTTTTTAACTTGTAAGGTTGTAAAAGACTTGAAGGTAATTATAATTTACCCTGCAGCCAAACAATAATTAATATAAATAGAATTTTTTTCCAACTTTTAAAACTGTTTACATCCATTTTTATTTAAAAACCTCAACTGATACTGAAACGGCTCTAACTAGTTTCTGATTTGTGCCCTGATTTTGCCAAATTATTTCTATAACCATAAACAAAACCACTTTAATGTGCTTAACTATGTATTAATGTTGGAAGTTAGGATTTTTAACTAAAACAATGCTCAAAATCTTGTAATTTTTTTTATTAATTTAATACTATCAGAAGATTTTGTCATTTGTTTTTTGTTCTGTTTGTGATGGACCAGTTGATTAAATATCAGATGAAGCCAGAATAACTGAGCAATTGTTGTTTATTTGATTCATATAATCGCATCTCCTTTCAGTAGTTGAGCAGTTTATTGAGAATTATGTTAAGCCATCGCTTGTCAAAATGGCAACAAAATAATTTCTGTCAACTTGTTTCTTGTTTTTCTACAATATCCCAGTTTTGGGATAATAAATCTCTTTCATTGGCATCGATTTGCATCAGAATCATGCATGTAAGTAAATGTTAGGCGTGACAGAGGAAGGTAATTCTAGCTGTCAGAGAGCAAGAAAGAGAGAGAGAGAGAGAAACTTCCTTCCTGTTTCCAATAATGTCTGAGCGACTTACAGCATGTATACATACAGACACTGACGCCTCCCCTGCAGCTTTTTATGCATGCATGTGTACAGAAACTTTTAAACCGTTTGCATGGTCAGACTCCTGAGAGCATTTCCTGCTTTTTAGTTTTAACTGCTCAAACATTTCTTACACTCGTTTAGTTTGCTTTCAGACGTCAGGCGCTTACACTAGCATGCCTCTGGAGCAGTAACTTTATCACTGATATAAACGTGGCATGTTGTGGTTTGATAGTTGAATGATGCGCTGCGCTGGCATCAACTGATCTCTCTCATTTCTTTGAGCCACAGGCTGCAGATGGTCACCAAGCTGCCTCATGAGATAATCTTAAGGGTTTTTATTTTTAGCCCTTGCACGTGTTACTGCTTTTGGGCAGTGCCGCCCCTCAAAACAGGCAGCAAAATTGTTTAGTACCGACAGAGAGGCACTCTGTAAAGGGTTGACTGTGGCGCTCCGCTGGCGAGTTTTCACATGCAAAGCAAGGACGTCTTCACTTGAATATGTTGAAACCAAGAGTTCAGCTCTGAGAAAAGGAGCATAAGAGATGCTTTCAGAAACTGGTTTTAAAAATAGTACTAATAGAAGTGCAATAAAAGAGCAAATTTAGCTTTGCCTCTTGTCGTTAACTACAATAATTTTGAAAATAACACGAATTATCTTAAAGTTAAAGAGAAAACTTTCCCGTCAGCCGCTCTGCTTTCAGGGCCACCCTCTTACTCAGCTGGACAATACCACACTTGCGTAACAGAATAATAAAGAAATTCAAAGAGCCTCAAAGGAAGATGAGGAAGGAAGAGGGGTTAAGACAGGGTATGAAGGAAAGGATAGCGGCTAACCACAAAAACCTCTGAGTGTTATCTGAACAGCTGCTTAATAACCACATCTTCTGTTCATTTATTACTTCCATTCATGAGAATAATAATACATTTTATTTATATAAAAGCGCTTTTCAAAAGCTCGGCAACAACAGAGCAGTTGCGCACCAGACAAAATCATAAACAACAACAAAAAAAAAAGATAAGTTTCATGTCAAGCTGGTTTAAAATGTCAAAGTTGATAATATTGCACAGGAGCGATGGAGGTCTTTTTGTTCTGCATCAGTTTCAGTCCCCATACTCTAACTGTCATCATGTAGCCATGATAAAACTTTGGTTGTTAAAAACTGATGATCCGCATATTAATTTCTAGGTGGTCCGTCTTGAACATAAGGAAGATAAACCAGATTTGCTTACTTTATTTGGTGCTATGAAAGAAAATTGCTACAATGAATCTGAGATACCTTATGTTTCAACAAAACATGTTTGTGTGTGTGTTTATATAGATATGTGTGTGCATTAGCAATGTTAAAATAAACATTCAATTCACATTGAATGTTATTTTTTTATTACACCGGTTTCTGTATTTTTGTGTCATCTTCACAAAAAATGCAGTTTGATGAAGTCACAGTTAATCTATATTAAACACAAAAATATTTGTAAAAAAAAAAACTTAAGTGAAACTGAAGCCCTATTTGTTGTTTATCTATAAAATATGGATATGGTCTCTGTGACGTCCCCTGGCTATTCAGAAACTAAATGTCAGTGATTTTGGTTTTGAGTTTCTGGTTTGACAACTAGTTCTAGGTAAACCTTAGAACAGCATTCAGAGCGTGATTTTGGTTTTGAGTTTCTGGTTTGACAACTAGTTCTAGGTAAACCTTTGAACAGCATTCAGAGTGTGATTTTGGTTTTGAGTTTCTGGTTTGACAACTAGTTCTAGGTAAACCTTTGAACAGCATTCAGAGCTTCAGGTGACGTTGCAGATTTCCAACTAATTTTGTGGCTTATGGTTCAGTTCACATTGGCTTCACACTCTGACAAATGAGTTTATAAACATGCACACGGGAGATTTTGAGGAAGACTATCAGCGTACTGATTTTAAACTTTCATCAAAATGAGGCAGAAAACTTTATTTTTTTTTAATTCTCTTAAAATTTTAACTAATATTTCTATACTTATAGATCGGAAGAAGCTAATTATGTAATTGTTTCCTCATGTAATGTTTTATTTCTGCAGTTCATCACAAAGTCTCACCCTCTGATGTTACTAGTGCAGCTTCTTTCACAGACAACTTAACCATGTCAGAAACTTAGTTGAATAAAACCAACATACATGCTTGAAAACTCAGTAGCCTTAAAATTCAGTAAAATCACATTAGTATTGTGATGTTATTCAGTAACCGATATTTTGTTGATATGCCAATAACTGTTTTTTAAATATTGACTTACTGCATACAATTAGACTTAAAAAATGTCTTTGCTGATGTATAGATCTATGAGGCTATCACTAGCATGTTCTTTGTTTTGATATGACTCATTGGTTATCTTGCCTGTAACATACTTTATTGTGCTTGTTGCTTCTCATTAGCAGACTGTGGAAAAACATTATTCTCTTATATCAAATTGTACTTTTCTGTGAACGTTGTAACATTTACTGACTTGTGTTTCAGCTGCTTTCTGTGCAGCCACTGATCACATGGGCAACAGCTGCACTTTCACTGTTACCTTTATTGTAAAAAGTCTCATTTGTTGCATTGATAAAATGAGTGCAGTCTGTAGTGTTGTGTTGCCAGCTGTGCAGCCAAAAATAGGATGTGATATTTATGCAGATGACAGAAAGTTGCAGTCAACCTTCCAGTTGTTAACTCAAAGAATTGAATGCTCAACAGATTAACAATTGGGATTAAAGCTTTTTTCTAGTTGTGAATAGTTTTACATGTTTCCCAGTGAATTATAATTCTCCTTTGTAGGTTAAGAATTTTAGAAGAAACATATTTTAAAATAAGTTTATTGTTTTTAGGCTCCACTAATGCCTTCTGCTGACCATGTAACATGCTTAGACATTTTGACCTTCGCTCAGAGAAAGATGGGAGTTGCTCCAAGAAAAACATTTAATTTTCATTTAGGACAGAAATACACGAGTGTGTTCTCCTCCCTCACTTGTTTGTAGATCTCAAGACACACCTTCTCTCCAGGTGTAGATCTCAGCCGCCCTCTCTGCCTCCTCATTACATCGCCACTCACTCTGCTGTCTTCTTCTGTGTCTCTCTGTGGTTTCAGCCTAAGATGCCCTAGGCGGGAGAAGGAAATGTAAATGGCTTCCAAAGTAAAAGATGCTGTTGTTTGGTACCAGAAAAAGGTAAGAAGTTTTGTTGTTTCAGACATGCTTTCTAATTTGAAAACAAGGTTTTTCTGTTGTTGTTTTTTTGTTGTTGTTGGGATTTGTAATAATTCTGCAGAGACACCACGGCAGATATTCAGATTTAAAGCATGAGGCAGAGAAAATGTGCTCTTGAAATCAGGTTTGCTTCAAAAATGTGCAGAACGTTTTATCTTTTTCCCAAAGCTGTGGTGTCTTATTGCTGAAAAGTGTTAGCTTGACAAAATACACTTAATTTTAGACCGTAAACAATAAAGTTTACTACTGTTAAAGCTAGACAACACATTTTCGCAGAGATGGGTTGCTGCTGACTTTCCTGTCCCTTTTCCATCTGCACACATGCGGAAAGCCAAAACGTTTCAGGTCGTCCGGCTCCGTGTGTGCCAGGCCGGTGTTGTATGTCCTCTTCTTCCATGGTCTCGGATATCTGATCTTCTGCTGGACTCCTGCACCGTTCCTCCTGCACTCATCAGCTTACACTCTCATCTGCATCTCTTGTCATTCCAGCCTCATTTATCTCTTCTTTGCTCTGCTTGCTTTACTCTGAAACCTCTGCCTGCGTCTTACATCCTTTCTGCTCTCTGAGGTCCTGTTTGCCTTTTAAACCATCCAAACAAAACATAACTCTCGAGTTTTAGACTTTAATTAAAAGTTTATACGCACCGTTTTGTCAAACACAGCTTTCTCCAAGCGGCGCTTTATAGCTTCAGTTTAATTCGTCTTGATATAATTACAGCCAGAATTTAATTTAGCTCAAGTACTAGATGAAAAATCCTAAATTATATTACAGGTCTAGATTAAATGTCAGAAACTGGACAAAAACCAGATAACTCTCTCAGTGTATCCTGTTACACGAGTTTTTTGTCGAACTAAGCTTGTCTGGGCAGAAGCACAGCCCAGATGACAGCCACTGACTCGGAGTGAATTAACCTTTTTAAGAAGCAGGGTGTTTATTTCGTAGATGTGTCACTCAGTTTAGTTGCTTGCCATCTTCCCCTCCTTGAACACCTGAATAAAATGCAAACAAAAGTAATGTTTGTGGATCAAGGTAAGGCGTCGTAAATTTGGCTGCGATCAGCGAGCAAAGATTGACTTTCAGTTTGCTATGTTGGCTATATAGAGAAACAGGATGAGTGAAGAGCTGAAGCCATGACAGATTAACAAACTTCCTTTAGGAGATTCCTAGATGCTACACAAGCCTCAACAGGTGGAAAAAGTTGCGTTATGGGATTATAAAAGTGATCTAGGCATTAGTATGAGATTAGCATGGCATAACTTAAAAAAACACCCTGTTTTAGAGTTTTGCCACAAAGATTCAGAACAAAAATGAAGCGTGATTTTGTGCTTGACACATTTACTTTTTGCTCTCATTTTTAAGTTCTTTTCAAATGAGCAACCCAAACCAATCTTGACATGATGCCAAGGTGAAATTGCTCTGCCACCATGTTTGTTTGTTGGAGGCAAACCTCCGACAAACAAACAGGATTATGGACCCATTTCAGCGCGATGTCACGCCCCAACCTCCCTGCTGGAGGGCAAAAAGCTGCTCGTCGATGTTGACTACCATTGGTTTTAGCTGTTGAGTTAAATCTTAAATGTATGTCTGATGTATAAAAGGAAAAGGACGCAGTGCTTTGCTAATACTTGTCAACAATACGACAACTAGATAACAAGGTCAGGAAAAAGTTTTAAGAAAAAAATCGCAAGGGAGAGGGAAGTAGTCCAGTTATTCTTGCTTTGCTTCGACAACCGTAACATGTTGATGTGATGGAAATTTGGGTCAGTTCAAAATAAAACACTTAAACACCGATTCTGACAAACCATCAGTAAAGCAGGTGTTTAAATTAGCTAATCTACCACTTCGATCACTTATTAATAATCGCAAACTACACATCGAGACTAAAAACATAACACTGTAATGGACTGAATGTGTTGAGTGTTTTTTTTTTTTTTTTTGGTGTTGAATCCTGAAACGTAGTGGCGTCCCTGTCAGTTGTTATGGTAACGTGTTTCTGTGTAGCGCAGCTAACAGAGTGAGAAAAAAGTGGTTTTGAGTTGTTCGACGTTTTATTTCTGCATTACTTTTTCATTTTCTGTGGTACAATGCACTAAATTAATACCTACTTCTCAGAACCAGGTTTCATTAACTGGATGAAACCTGGTCCTGCTGCAGCAGTGCGGCTTTAGATGGCATGTAGAAGAGTAGTATTTTTGCTGTCCAGAATTGTACTCATGTGCAAAATTTCTAGATGTAAACAATAAGATGTAAGGGGTCCATAAGGTGTAGATGGAGAAGCTTGGTTTGAGATATTTGGTGAGGGATTTTTGCCTTGTCAGCCAACATTAAGGCAAAGAAGATGGGCAAAATATTTTGAATGAGTCATACATCAGATCTGTGAACTTTCCCTGAGAAAAAGACGTTAAAACTCGAGGATCTGCAGAGCACTAGCTGGCTTTTGCAAAAAAAAAAAAAAAATGTTTTTCAAAATCTTTTTATTCGTTTCATCTTCAAAACTCCATGATGGTTCTCTGTTGGCTGTTCATATTTTTGTTTGTGAAATAACATGGCACAGTATTGCATGATGCATGGTGTTTGCTTTTATTGCATAAATATTGCCAGCAGTCTGGGTGCGCTAATCTGCCCCACTTAGGCATGTTTTGCCCGCACATGTTGTGGAAAATGCAGCAAGTATATTCTGCGGCACACACCAACCTTTACACCCACCAACCCAGAACAATTGAGGAAATCTAGCTCAGTGAATCATCCTGCAGAGCCTGCATGACTGCTGAATTATTTAATTGAGCTCCTTTTAAACAAACTTTGTTCACATAAGTATCAAGTTATCTGTATTTTCCATTAGTTAGGCATGTAAACTGGAAGATCCGTAACCTGGCATGTTGAGAGCTGAGCTATACAGACCACTCAGACGTATACGTTGGTCAATAATCTTAATAGTTTATTTCATATTTCAGACTGATTCTATCATCTGCAGCCTTGCAGCCTCTGTGTGCACCACAGGCGATGAGTCACAGTGTATTTCTGACTCTGTCTGGACGCCTGCTGCAAATAGACTCGAATCGTTGCTATGTTGAGAGCCGTTTTTTCTCCGACTACAGAGCCGAGTTAGGCCCAGATCACAGCGACGGGTCATGCATTCTGAGTCTGCTGGGTGCCAGATAGCAGTATGTCTGTGCAGCCAAGCAGTGAAGCCTTTTTTCAGTTCATTTTGGAGATGAATTATCCTAGTTGTGAGTGTTTTGATTAGTAATATTTCCACAATTACTATCGAAATAATCTGCTTTTGCTTTAGTTGTCTGAAGAGTTTAAAGTTTGAGGAGTGAAGTGAAGGCAAACAGCTTAGTTTCTCTGTCTGTGGGCGAGAGTTGTGAATGCTAATGGATTTACATAAGTGCAAAGTGTTGGTGTGAAGATTCTCTCTGGATGTGCTGGGATGTTTATGGAGGATGTTTATATTTAGACCAGAGGGGAACTTTTACTCATCATCTAGTATCAAGCTTTCAGTCGTGGGTTCTGCTGTATTACACCAACACAGAGAGCCAATTGCTGCCTGCTTTTAACTCCTCCACCCATGAAACATCCTTAAATATACAAGTGAAAATAGATAATGAGAAAATCATGTCAGATGTGGTTTGCTTTTTGTACTTCAGCTTCTCTTCATTCTTCCTGTTTTATGATTTCTCAGGAAATCGTTAAGCAGGGAAAACCGAAACAAAACTATGGAGCAGTTGTGTTCCATTTACATGCTTTGTCTCTAAAACAACTTTAGTAGTCAAATTTCTTCCTTTTTAAAATGGAAATTAATTTTTGGAGTTTAATCATAAAAACCTGTGTCTGTCTAATTATATTTTAATCACTTTATGCTTAATTTCAGCTCCAAACACAACAACAATTAAGAAACTATCATTTTTTACGCAACATAAGTTATATTCAGCAAAAGGCATTTGTAATCTAAGCAATAAACCTTGAGATTTTAATTTGGATGTCATTGCATTTTATTGGTGTGAAATTTCCACCTGCTCCAGCGACATGTGACCACACCTAAGAACACACGTGGAAATATTTACAAATGGCTGACTGATTGACGGTGGGAGGTGTGAAGACTGGAAGGAAGCAGGAAGGAGAGGTCATCCACATGGCATTGAAGTTTTTGTTGCTCATTACGGGAATATTGATATTAGGCTTTACTTTTTTTTATGATTCATTCAGCAACAGAAAACCTGTTTGGCAACTCTCATCGTTTGTTTTACTTTCCATATAAGGGCAAGGAATGTTTTGTTTTTCCGGTAACACTTTATTTGAAGGGGGTTGAATAAGACTGTCTTGACACTTTCATAAACATGACATAACACCTGTCATGAACATCAATAAGTCTTCGTGAATAGTTATGACTGTTGTCATAAAGCGTCATTCGGTAAATTATGACAATTTTAATACAAAGTTGACATGATTCAAAATGTCTTTGTTATGACAACTTGACATTAACCAGGAAATCATAACTGTTTAAACTTTACCTTTAATAACATAAAGTTACCTAATTTTTAAAGTGCAATCAGTAATACTTTTATAACCAATTTATATCAGTAATGATTTCCTGGTTAATGTCAAGTTGTCATAACAAAGACATTTTGAATAATGTCAACTTTGTATTAAAAGTGTCATAATTTACCGAATGACACTTTATGACAACAGTAATAAATATTCATGAAGGCTTATCCATGTTCATGACAGGTGTCATATCAGTCTTATTCAACCCCCTTCAAATAAAGTGTTACCGTTTTTCCTTATATCCAAGCAATATGAGTTAATTTGAGTGTATTAAAGGTTTATAAGACTCAGGATTGAACCGTTTTTAGATAAACAGCTATAAAAGGTCTGACAATTTATTTATATAGTGAAACTATATCGACTAAAGTGCTGTACAATTCAATGAAATAAAGCAAAATCTGTTGGTATTTACAGTGTTTTAACTGAGAGGTGCATAAGACTGTTTTTTTGTACTTTTTTAAAAATAATGTTTCATGGTTTACCTTTTGATTTAATTAACTTGGGTTAGGGACACATTTGGATGCACAAACATGGACGATTTCTGTAGATTTCAAAACCACAATAACAAACGAACCTTTTTTCTGAAATGAGTTACAATCTTTAGAAAAGAAAATAAGTGAATCAAAGTCAAAATGATGCATGTCTGTGCTGAAAAAAATGCGAGTTTAATGATTCCTCTACCTGACGTTCGATCGTTCTTGTCCACAAAATAAATATTTAAACTTTATCGTTGGACCCCGATGATCGGCTCGTTTTAAACACAGCTGGCATTTTTGCTTAACTTTTTCTGTTTGCTGTCATACAAGCGCTTATTTTTCGGTAAATCTGTTCCTGCGCATCTCAGAGACGGTTGTTATGCAACTCTCTCTCTCTCTGCCCTCCAACTGGTGTCATAACGCCGCTCTCCGCTCTCCACTCTCCACTCTCCACTCTCCTTTCACTTTCAGCAGATATTTTGCCTCTCAAATCACTGAAGCCTGGGATTTATCGTCTTTGAATCTTTGTAAATCCTTTGTTTGACTTGATCAGGGCTAAAATATTCGACTTCCTCTTAAGCTGCTGTTTATGTAGAGATGCTGTCTGTAGCAGCAAAGGGCTCCTTTATTTTGAGAGGAGCAGAAAGTGATGCAGGGATGTGTGTGTGTGTGTGTGAGGATAAGAGGATTTACTTTAGCTCTCAGTTACCTCATGACTTTATGATGAAACAACACTTGAGGGTTTTTTTTTCTCTCCTTAACAAAGCCCCTCCTTCATATTCATACTCTTTAATCTGGTCAAGTTTGCCCTCCATCTGTCCTCCTCTTCTACACACAACATACTCCATATTCTCTGCTCATTTCACATTGTGTATCTGTATATTGAGATGCTATCATTTAGAGAATACATCTGTAGATTTAAAGTGCACTGTTGCAATGTGATTATCTGTAGCGTTTCTACAGAATTGCCCTGTGTGTTGCAATGGTTTGGCATCGTCTCAATAACCTGCAGGCTGCTAATGCCTCACGCCTGATTGGCTGAGTCGAGCGTCATAAAAACCATCAGGTAGAACTGTAAAAAAGTCCAACCCAGTAGCAACATCCAGGACCAGTAAAGCCAGTGTGGTGAGCACACAGAGCTGCCACTTGCAGTTGTGTGAGATCTCGGAGTGGAGCTGGTTATGTGACAGAGAGTTTTCATGCTGAGTGGAAAAAGTGAGTGCTGACTCATAAATTGACATGGGCTGAGCAGACAATTTCCGACTCAGATCTAAGGACAACAGGGTTTTACTCATTTAAAACCGACTAAATTAATTTATGTTTTAAACCGTCTTCAGTATCTTGTGATACTTTGTGTCCAACAGTGCAACTTTGCTGCGCTCTTTTCGTTCAGCCTTCCTGTTATCTGCTGAAGTCTTGCTCTCACATCTTGAATGAACTGAAGATGTGTGTCAACATTTCCTCAGAAATTAACTCATTTACTCATATTCATATTTAGCCTATTGTGGTTTCAGTAGAGTCATCTGCTTACAGGCAAAACAAATTGATATATTTATAACATTTTAAGAATCTCCCAGAAAGCTAAAGATCAAAACCATCCAGGCTACTAGTTGAGCTGAACAGTATATGAATGACTAACTTATTAGTCAGAGATTAGTCATCATTTGCACACGTTTCACTGCTGCCTGCATTCCTTAAATCATCTTCCAGGGCAACGATCCTGCATTAGAGGCACTTTCTTTTCTCTGCTTCTGTTTCTTTGTGTTCTTGTCCTTGACCCCCCTCTCGTCTTTCCATCAATCTTTAATGAGGACTCATTAATGATGCAGACTTTCCACTGGCGAGCTCAAAGCTTGACCCAGACTCCATGAATGGGAGACGAGCTCATTCGCATGAGTGCAGCGATCTGCTTAGGCGGTGTCATCCTACATCTCAGAAACACATTTTATACCAAACAGACGTTTTAGAAACTGCTAACCATTCCCTTTTTGTCATGAATCACTGAATCAGTGTGAGCAAAATGAAACGTGTGGAGCGTTGACAATGTTTTTGCTGTTTGGATGCTTAACACAGAGCGTGCTCTTTCTCATGACTTGTACTTGCTTATCTTTGCAGATTGGAGCCTATGACCAGCAGATTTGGGAGAAATCGGTGGAGCAAAGAGAAATAAAGGTCTGTTGCTTTTATGTTTGGACTATCTCACTCTTTATTTCCAGTTCTGTCATTCTTTGCCTTTTCTCAGTCTCCACTCATTTGTCTGGTTTTATTTCTCCGCTCTCTGACTCCATGTCGCTGCACCATCAGTTCTTTTCCGCTGCCTTTCTTTTAACTCTTTCCTCTCTGGCCATTTCCTCCTCCGTCCATCCTTCCCTCCTCCTCTCTGCAGTTTATTTCTCTGGTGAGTACACAGCAGGGCGTCCCGCTGTGCATGTCCTCTCACCCTCGCCGTAGAGCGTTAGTATGTGGTTGGTTTGACATCAGCTGCAGTGTTGCACACTAACCCAGCCTGCGTTCAGATTGATGAATTAAAAACGGCTGCAGGAAGGTTAATATGAAGCTGGAGTTGTCTGGGTGGGACCACGGCATGATGAGTCATGGAATCAGAGCGGCATCGAGTGAAGTTTTTTATTTTATTTTCTTGTTAAATGCCAAAGTCAACTGAAATGATTGACCTCAATAAAAAGTTTTAGGTTCACAGACTTCCTGTGCGATGAAAACTTTATTCTTGATTTTATTGAACTGGTTTGTGTCACCGCAGCAAAGTTTAACAATAATCAAACAGAGAGGACGGGTCGATGGTTATAGAGGAGAAGAGGGACGAATGATTTACCAGAATAGCAAGGTTTGAAATGATTCTCTCTGCCAATGTAAAAGCACATTTTATTTGTGCTGAAAATATTATTCTCTTTAATAACAGGAATATTGCTGTGTGTTTGTGTAATTAAAACTGGGTTATAGCAGAAGATTGTACCATGGTGTCAGGTTAAAGGCCCAAACTGCAGAATAGTGAGGGAATGGTGTGTTGTGCATAAAAGTTCATCGCATTGCTGGGAGTCGGCGGCTCCTGTGGTGCCTTGCTAAATTATTTAACCACACACTTCATTGTGTTTTATCAAGGACCATGTGCTGCATTATTGGGTATTGAAACGATGATGATAGATGGGTTTCAATAGTTTGACCAATAAAAATCTGAAAAGTGTGGCATGCTTTTCTATTCAGCCCCCCTTGTTATAGCTGTTAGTCGTCTGGGATGTGAATCGAGTTTAACTCGTCATTGTCCTGCTGGAGCGGTTTTCTTTCAGAATTCATCTCCAACTCCGACCTCAGCCTGATGCTGCCACCACCCTGTTTCACCATGGTGGTGATATTTGTGCTGTAATGTGCAGTACCAGATTTCCTCCACACTTTGGTCTCATCTGACCAGAGCGTCTTCTTCCAGATCAGGTTTTTGGAAACTAAAAGCTTTCTTAACACATTCCTCTAAATTCAGTTCAGTTCAATTCGAAAATACTTGAATACTGCCATATTTTTCTGGCTGGTTTACTAACTAGATGCCTGTGAAAGGCAATTTATTGTACAGAATTTTAGAAGTATTACAATAAAGGGGGCTATACATGTGCCCTTTTATTAGATTTTCATTTAATTTCGCAATTATGTCCTCCTTTGTGGTCATTTGTTGCATAAAATCCCAGTAAAATTATGCCAGGAAGTATGAAAACGTCTGCAAGGCGCTATAGGTCAGTTGCGTAACTGCGGTGCTGCAGGACTTTATTCAGAATGAAATCATTTGCGGCGATGGTGTCTTCTCTTTCTCTAAAAGCTGTGTTCTCTAAAACACAAAGACCTGAAGAGCCTCTCACATGGCTGCGTTTGACCTTGGCTCGGCTCTCTTAAAGGTCTCTGCAGCAGGCAGACTTTATCAGTCCTACACCAGCGTTGTGTCCTTTTCACCCTTACCCAGGGGTAATTAAGCTGCTTATAGGCTAATAAAAACATGACTCATAAATCTGGAGAAGTTGTTTGATGTAACTTTACTGTAGCTCTATTTTTAGCACAATGCGTCTTCCAATATTGTTCCTGCAGTTTCCAAGCGATCCAACATTGACAAATGTTTAAAAATAAGTAAATGTGCTGAGTTTGCTGTTAATTTTATTTGTGTTTGATTAAAATAAAACAAATAAGATTTTTAAAAAGTAAATGCCAGAATAGTTGATGCTCTAATTTGTGATGCAAATGCCACAAGAACTCTTTATTTCCCTTGCAGCTATTATTGTCTGAAGAGAAGACATTTTATGATTTACACTTTTCAACCCAGAAGCCTCCTGCTGGTAAAATCAAAAATTACATTTTATCTTAATAGGTTTGAGCAAATAAAGCTAAAGGCAGCTTTTATCGGTAAATGTAGGGTATTAGATTATTAATGACATGGAAAGCTAATGATTCTGAGTTAATCAGTGTGGGAATATTTGCTTAAGGCTTTAAATAGCACAGAGCAACAGGTTTATCAAGGATGATGTTACAGTAAATCTAACAGGAACTTATTGATCAGCTGCTGCCAGCTTTACACCCTGATTACTCTCCGCAAACAGTGTATTAGCTTGTTGGGTGGGCTGTTTTCAGATAAAGAGGCCAATATCCCATTGGTGACTGATAACAGGACGCGATAGGTTTGTGTAAATGTTAGCTGGACACTAATCACCAACCACTTTTCATTTCAATTATAAAAATTGATCCTAGGGTGTTTGCCAAAAAATAAATGTACGTTGTCATGGAAAAAAAATGTTTTCAGTTAGTTTTATCTTTATACTAAAATGTTTCAGATCATCAAACAGATATAATGTCAGATTAAGACAATTTGTGTAAACAAAAAATACAAAACACTCAAAAAAAAAAAAAGAGAAAAGTTTTGCAAATGCCTAGTCAAAGTTTGGACTTAAATCCAATTAAATCCAACTTACACACGATGGCCTAATTTAATTTTAGAAACGAAGTCTGCAAACTAGAGTGTGGAAGAATTAATTGGTAGTCAGAATAAACCCTTGATACAAAGTTAACAGAGGGGAGTGATTAATTTCCACAAAGGGCCAGGTTGGCCTGAATTCCTGTTCCCCTCCCCCCATTTTTATATATAAAATAATTAAAAAACATTATTTATTCTGTTTACAAACTGGACTTTAAGCAGTATATTCAAATTCTACAATATGTAAAGCTGCAGCCCAGCTTTTCATTGAATATGCGTGTATACACACTAACCAACTCGCTGCATCACAAGAGGAAGTGACACACTAGTGCAGGAAGTCGAGAACAGGGGAGGCGTATTCCCAGGGCCCTGTCCAGCTCTGCAGCTGGCACACACACTGACAACTCTCTTTCAACGACCGAGACCTTTAGGAGCCATGAAAACCGCTGAGTAGAGCCGGTAGATGCTGGGTATATAGATAAACCCTCTAGAAGTGAGTAGGTGGAGGTTAGAACCCGTTCTCGTTCCCCCAGTGAACACCTCAGTTTGAAGAGTTTGATTTCCATCTATGTGTGGTTTTAACTGTGTCTCCGTCTCCTTCTGCAGGGCTTGAGGAACAAGCCAAAGAAGACCGGACATCTCAAACCAGATCTGATAGATGTGGATTTAGTCAGAGGTGACGACAGAAACTGGAAACACTCGGTCACATTGTTCTGTGCTTTGCTGACAGACAATGAGCTGAAACCCGTTTGGTTCTCAGGTTCGGCGTTTGCCAAGGCCAAGCCAGAGAGTCCGTGGACGTCCCTGACCAGGAAGGGCATCGTCAGAGTCGTCTTCTTCCCGTTCTTCTACCGTTGGTGGATTCAGGTCACCTCCAAAGGCATTTTCCTTCTCCTGTTGGCTCTGTATCTGCTGCAAGGTAGGACTGACCTCATTTCTCTCTAACATTCTAAATTAAGACCAATAGTGTAAATTGCACAGGGCTCAACAAACGTCTGCAGACTGAGCAGTGTTGAAATTTAGGACCCAAAGTTAATGTCAGATATTAGCAAAACTCCTCTGGGCTGGGGCTGAAGAGGGCATGTCGACTGACCTACATTGAAACGGAGCAACACTCTGGTGGTTTATCAGACAATCCCACCGCTGTGGTGGTTCAGGCATCGCGGTACGGTGGGAGTTTCTCACTCTGACCTCTGATCTCATTCTACGTCACAGAGCAGTTTACATTGTGATACTTGAACATGATGCCTCATGCAGAAGAAGAAATGTCCTTAAATGGATGCATCAACAAGGCAATGATGAGCAGCATCTTGATTCCAAACCAGAATAAACAGTAGAAAAAATCCAACCTGATCACCTTTATTCAATAAAAACCTTTCAAGGTGATGCCAAAAATGCTGTATGAGGTAAAAGAAACTAATGCAGAGGAACTGGAGAGTGCAGTCTGATCATCCGGGATGGGAATATTTGCTTACAGCAGCCAGATTTCACTTCTTTTTTTAAACACTCTGCTGATGTTTTGAACACAGACTTAGTTCTTTCGTCAGGTTTACAGACTGTTTTAGTGTCTCCATCCAGCTACTAAGAATCACCAACCCAACACACACCAACATGAAGGGTTTCCACCAAACTAGCCTGGACAAAGTACATTGTTTCCTCCCAAACATTATGCTCAGTTTAACTGTGACAACAAAAATAAACGGTATATGTTTATTTACTTAATGACCTGTTTCATCAGTACTTCCTGCAGGATTTTATTTGCGAGTATCTGATCAGCCAGATGCTGATTTAAAAATGTTCCTGCATGTTTTCTCATGTAGAAAAATCCCCCAAAAGGAAGGAAAGACACAAAGAAGGAAGGAAAGGATGAGCGAAGTTAGAAAGGAAGGATGCAAAGGATGAAGGGACAGGAAGGGAAGCGGGATAAAAGGGCACAAAGGAGGCTGGACAAGAGGACAAAAGTAGCAAATTAAAGAAGAATGAAGATGGGGGGGAAAGGGAATAAATCTAAAAAATATATATTTTCCTTGCTTATCCAGACATTTAAAACAATCAAATTAAACTTCACACTTCAGAAGTGTGTTTATAACCCTTCATTAACTTTAGAGTCCTGTTTTTGATGGAGGCATTTCTAGCTGCCAATTTTGATGAATGGGCTTCAAGTTCAAACTAATACACGTGGACCGTTGGATAGGCTTTTACTGCCCTGATGGAGATGATTGTGACCGAAGACGGATCTGGACCAGACTAATTGTTGTTTGTCCCCGGTTCTCCTCAGTGGCAGCAGCCGCCCTGTATGTGTCCATCTCTCAGCCTCATGGGATCCCAGTCACCGAGGTGTTCGGAGCCATCTGGCTCATGTTGCTGCTGGGAACCGTCCACTGTCAGATCGTCTCCACCAGGACCCCCAAACCCACCTCCAGCAGCGGGGGGAAGAGACGCAGGTGAGCTGCTGAAGGGATGTGGCGACGGAAAGGATTTTAAATGAAATTAGGAGAAAATGACAAATTTCAGCTGTAAGTCATATTTATCAGTAAAGTGACGTAGAGACATCTATATCTGATAGAGGTTAAAAACATGAATCTTGACTTGTAGTGGTGTGCTTGTTTGCTGTGTTTGGAGTGTTTCCAGTTTGTTGGCTTCATGCTCATCGGCATGCTGCTGCCAGTTTTCCGACCCCAGAAGAAAACTGATCCTCTGTTTTAGAAAAGAGTTTGGGGGATAAAACATCTGTCTTTCTTTAACAGTTTTTAATTCACTAGAAGGAGGGGATCAGAGCAGAATATAACGAGATTTGAAGCCAGTTTCAGTTCAATTCATTAATACAAATGCATCTCAATAAATCAGTGTATCATTGAAAAGTTGATTTTTAGTCAATTTAAACATGTATAAATGCATTAGAGTGAAATATTTGAACTGTTTGCTTCAGTTAATTTAGCTGATTGCAGTTTATAGCTGAAATAAAATCCAAAATTCAGTTTCCTGAGTAATAGAAGCACAAGATCAAATAAAAACCTTATTTGTAGCCCATGTCTGCATAATCAGTGACTCGGGCCACGATTCATGCCTCGCACATCTCCTCCAAATATTAAAATGTCTTCACAGTCCTCTCAAGGCTGCAATTTTCACTGTTGGTAGCGAAACGTTTCCTACTAGAGTTCTTCCTTCCACTCAACTTCCCAACAACATGCTGTGAAATAATTCTTTACGGCCTACCATCCTTGAGGATGTTGATGATTTTATGCACTTTTTGAGCTGCTTAACCTGGGGATTTTCTTGACTATAAAACTAGCAGAAATATAACCGTGTTATTTAACTAAATGAGTTTAACTCTTCAATGATATCCTTATTTACTGACATGTTACTTTTAAACCTTCAAGCAGGGACTCTTTATAGAGGAAACATTAACAGTAAATCACACCTTTCCTTTTCTCCTATCAGTGATCATAACAATTATCTTGACTTTAAAATGAGTAAATCGTATTTCTAGATCTGTTCAACATTTTCTTTGACCCGAGTGGGTTTTTTTGGAATAGTTTGTTGAAAGGGTTAATTCTGCAACAGTAGAGAAAATAAGCATTTAAAACTTCATCTATCCACTTTTATGATGCTTTGTTTTAAAGAGTTCATTAAAATATCTACTTTTGCAGAATAACACCAATATGAAGTTTTTTTTTTTTATGATTTAAATCCTGTCTCAGCCTTATCCTGAAGACTTTCCCGTCTCTGGCCTCTTGGTTTTCTCTAAGTCTCTTCTCTAATCTCCATTCTTTCCAAACCAAAGGAAGTTGAGGAAGGCATCTCAGATGGAGGTGCATAGGGAAGGAGACGGGTCTAGCACTACCGATAACACACAGGAGGGGGCGCCACATTCTCACTCAGCCAGCACCACATACAGCCTGGGCGCTTTCTTCCAAGATTTCTGGCATGATATCTGTCAAGCTGGGTGTGTATTTCCATTCTCCCGGTTCCTGTGATGAGACGATGCAGAGAGACAAGGCTGCGCTTTCAGGAAAAGAAGAAAAAATATATCTGGTTTAATTTATTCACACAAAATGCAGTTTATTAAAATGTGAAATTTGGCAGTAATGTGTAAAGTTTAAGCTGAATAAGAGCCAGCCTTGCCTCAGACTTTACTGTGCTTCCTCAGTTGCAACATCCTTCACTGTCTCCTTTAACCTGTCTGAGAAATTAAGTCTTAATTCAGCTGATCTGAAACCAAAGTTTCTATTTTTTATTTCTATTTTATTGAGGAGCTGAAGGATTTTGCAGCTAATTTTGTTGTGAGTAATCTGCTGATTACGGTTGTGTTTAAACGAAGCATGCTTCCTCCCTTCCATGATTTCCCTCTAATCAGATTTCAGTCTCGGGTTATTTTATGCATCAGTGTCATTTCATCTTCATCTAGTGAAAAGAAACTTGAACATCTCACTTGATTTTCTTATTAAAGGGCATATAAAATAAATTTTTTAAAATGCAAAGAATTGTAAGAAGAAAAATGAGCTTAAGGCATTTATTTCAGCTTCCCGAGCTTTTTGAATGTTTTAGAAAGGCGATACTCAAAAGTAACTGGAAATATGCGCTACAATAATGTAAAGGTCGAAACATCCTGTCATGTGACTCGATCTCACTGAATTTATAAATGGCTTTTTCCACAAGAAACATGAAAGTCACTTTAAATTAAACATGTGGTGGATGGAAGACGACTTCACTTGGCTCAGGCACAAAGGAAAAAAGAGCATTTTTTTTACCTAATAAATCTCTATGCTGACAAATAGCTTAATAGTCTCACTGTTTTGTAATATCTTTACCATAAAATGTCATCTCATCCTCACATAATAGTGATTTATCTGGTTTAGGGAGCTTTACTCGAGATGGGAGAAAATTATTTCATGATTTTAGCATTTTTGGCTATAAAAGGTTATATGCTCTTTAATAATTCACTTACCTATTCACAAATTCCCAAAACCAATATTTAACAAGTTTGCTACAATTTAATTTGTCCATATTTGCAGCATGTGGACTCATCTCCAGTTCAGTATACACACATGACCCTCTTTATTGTTGACGTGTTTAATGCATCCTATAAAGACCGAATGACGGCCGATCTGCTGACTCTGGCCACTCGCCTCCTTTCCTCTGCAGATGTAAGAAGTCCAAGCTGTCCATCGATAAATCGACAGAGACTGATAACGGCTACGTGTCTCTGGATGGCCGGGTAACCAACCGCAGCAGCGAGGAGGGGCTTCAGCTGCCAGAGCAGAGATGTGACCCACTGACCCGGCCAGACGAGGCGTGCTGGACCCCTCACATCCAGCCCTCACACTCTCACGCAGCGCCCAGCTCAGGGCTGCTCATGGCAGGCGGCAATAAGGTAATGACTCAGAAATTCACTCGACTTTGTTAGTTTTACAAAGCAATCGGGGAACATTTCCCACTACTTTATTCGTTTGGCTTTTAAGGAGCCTGCATCTGATGAAGCTTCTAGCGAGGAGGATCCCGAAGCGTCCTACAGCGCCCTCCGCAGGGCGTCCGAGAGAAAGAACAGCGACTGCACACTCAGAAACCGCAAAAACACACATCTTTACAAGAAACACTACACTGTGGAGGCAAGCCACGCAGTCTGATTAAAAGGAAAAAAAAAAAACACACGCAGAATCTGCTTCTTAAGAATCACAACTCTTTGTTTTCGCCTTTCAGGACGTTCCCAAATCCGGCACCAGCTGCAGCTCCAGATGTTCCAGCATGAGAACCCAGGACTCTGAGAGCACTCGGCATGAGTCGGAGACAGAGGACCTGATGTGGGAGGACTTCCTGCACTGCGCAGAATGCAGGTCGTCCTGCACCTCAGAGACAGGTGGGACGGTTCAAACATTCAGGGGAAACTTTGGGCTCCAGCATGATGGTTTATTCCGTGATTGTTGTTTTTGCAGAGGGTGAAGGAGGAGGGGCATCCGTATGTACTCCATCTAAGAAGGAATACAGAGACGACCCTTTCCATCAGGTGTGAAAGATATTTACAGCTCAGCTTCTTGAATTTTATGCCTTTTTTCTGATGTTTTTTAAGAATTTGGCATTTTAACCCTTTAGGAGGATGGGAAGATCAGCATAGTAGAAATCTGGTCTGTTATTTCTTTTAGATACTGAGCTTTTTCTATTTAATAGAATAAGAAATGACTTCCAGAAACTACACTCTTTTTCCAATCTGTGTTCTTTCTCTCACCAAGCATTGAACATGTTTGATCCTTTATATTTACACTCCCTACAGACTAAACCGTAAGTTGGTCAGGACTCTTGTCTTTTTACATATATGCTTGGATGTAACTCTTTAAACAGCCAACAATGAACTTAGATTATGCCTGCTGCACGAGTCAGTAGTCTTTCCAGTGACTGTGTGTAGGCCACAACAAAACATTGTGTATTAAGTGGGTAATATTTACATTTTCTGAGTTTTGTCTAAGTCATTGGTTGGTTGTTTTTGCTCCAGAGTCATATTCCCTGGTTGCACAGCTCCAACCCCGGCCTGGAGAGGGTGAGCGCCATCGTTTGGGAGGGAAACGATTGCAAGAAGGCCGACATGTCCGTCCTGGAGATCAGTGGAATGATCATGAACAGAGTGAGCGGCACTTTGAGTATCTGTGGGAGGAGATTAACGTTTTATTGAGTCAACCGCGCCGACACTGCTCTCTGTGTTCAGGTGAACCTCTACAGTCCTGGTATTGGCTACCAGGTCTTTGGGAACCTGGTCTCAGTCACCCTAGGACTCACACCGTTTGTCTACAGGTACAGCAAACTCCAACGTTCCTAAAAATCATCTCAAGTTGGAAACGCTCCTCATTTCCACGTTTCCTCCCTCCACAGGTTGATCCAGTACTGTGACCTGGATCAGTTCACCACGCTGTCAGCCAATGAGATACTCTCTGTTGTTTTGGGGGGAGGCTCTGAATCTGATGCCTTGGTGATCACCATGGTGACGCTCAGCTTCCTGGTGCGCGTTTGCCTTATATGGCTCTTCTTCTTCCTGCTCAGCGTAGCAGAGAGGACCTACAAACAGGTAAGAGGATAAAATCCTGAATAATTTCCAATCAGACCCAGCAGGTGTTTGTAGCTCCTCTGATCTCCGCATTTCAGAGGCTGCTGTTCGCCAAGCTGTTCGGTCACCTGACGTCGGCCCGCAGAGCCAGGAAGTCTGAAGTCCCGCATTTTAGACTGAAGAAAGTTCAGAACATTAAGATGTGGCTGTCGCTGCGCTCCTACCTCAAGGTACACCACTTATATTAGCACATATTCATGATCTGACAGAGGTCTTATTGGAGGACGTGATGCAAATCTGAATGAATTTGCAGAGACGAGGTCCTCAGCGCTCGGTGGACGTCATTGTGTCGTCTGCCTTTCTCCTCACTCTGTCAGTGGTCTTCATCTGCTGTGCCCAGGTGAGAAAATTAGACTTTAGACAAACTTAAGTTATAGAATAGGAGCCCAATTTCTGTAACAGCATCTACAAGTTTGTCTTCTACTCCACCAACCTGCCTCTCCATCTTCCTCCAGCTTCTCCACGTCCACGAAACGTTCCTGGAGTATCACTATAACTGGGAGCTGGTGATCTGGTGCACCAGTTTGTCTCTGTTCCTGCTCAGGTTTGTCACCCTGGGCTCAGAAACCAGCAAGAAGTACAGCAACACCTCCATCCTGCTCACTGAACAGGTATAATGCAGACTGCAGACGCAGCAGGGGGTTTTGTTCCCACAGTCGCGCTGACCCGTTCCGTCTCTCGTAGATCAACCTCTATCTAAAGATGGAGAAGAAGCCGAACAAGAAGGAGGAGCTGACGTTGGTCAATAACGTTCTGAAACTGGCTACCAAGCTACTCAAGGTGCCGACTCGCTGCCTCATATCTCATCTTAGATCCAGGCGGTTTGGATTTCTCACTCTGCCGTCTGATTTTTCTCTCCGTCCAGGAGCTGGACACTCCGTTCAGGTTGTACGGTTTGACCATGAACCCTCTGCTCTACAACATCACCCAGGTCGTCATCCTGTCTGCTGTGTCAGGAGTCATTTCTGACTTACTAGGATTTAATCTCAAGGTAACAGACTTCTATTTCCAAAACTGCTGAAGTTTTTTTTTTTAAATTCTGGTAAACTGGTGCTCCTTCAGCCAGGTCAGAGGAAAGAACCAAAACATTCTTAGTGTCACGTTTAAAAAGATCCAGAGATTAAGTCAGAATAGATTTAGTTTATTTGAGGCAGCTGCTTTTTGGTTTACTGAAGGTATTTTCGCAGCAGAGAACGAATAAAACTTTGTCACATAAATCTGGATAATCACCGTTTCCACAGCCAGAAAGCCAACTCTCTGACCTGTCCAGTTAATGTTTTATCTTGTAGAGCAGGGGTGCCCAAGTCCAGTCCTCGAGAGCAACCATCCTGCAACTTTCAGATGCATCCCTGCTTCAACACACCTGAATCAAATGAATGGCTCGTTACCAGGCCTCTAGAGCTGATCCCGGTCTGTTGGAGTAAGGATACTTCTAAAAGTTGCAGGATGGTGGCTCTCGAGGTCTGGACTTGGGCAACCCCTGTTGTAGAGGATACAGATTGATCAATTGTCTTAGTGTTCTCCCAATCAACTCAACTTGGAACTGCAATGACCCACTTGGTTTCTGGTTCTTTCCTCTGATCCATTTGTAAACGGTCAGGCCATTTACATGCACATCTGAACCTGTGTTTAATGTAAGGTTAATAATAATGCCTGCATAGCCAATGATTTTCATGTCTAACCTGTTTCCTCCTTCTCTTCGCAGCTTTGGAAGATCAAATCATGACAATAAAGGGAAACTGCGTCTCAGTTTCTTGACCTTCAATGTTTCCACTTTGTGCAATTCAGATTATTTATTTACCCTCTCAGTGTTTGTACTTAAGTTTTGTTTTAATTCTACGTTGTACAACATTTGTGTTCTGTAACACAAGACAAAGCTATATCTGCCTTCTGGAAAACATGTTATGAACATAACTTATGTTCTCAGCTGCACGTTACTTTTTGTTTTTGTTTTTTTGCTCAAAGGCAAAACATGAAGGGGGTGACACTGTATCTATCTAATGCTGTTAATGGTTACATATCATTAGCAAACAGTTTAAACCCCACATGTAGACGTTACATGTTCATACCTGGTGGTGGCGTCGTCTGGTGTAGCTGAGAAAATAGATCCGTTTCTTGTCCTCACCTGGCAGAACACGGCAGCACTGCAACAAACAATCACCGATTAAACCCAGATTGTTTCAGGCCTCACCAGTATTTACAGCAATACATGTGTAGATTTTAGCTTAGGACAAATAAAAACGGAGTGTATTCCAACAAGCAGCAAAACCTTCCTGACGTTTTAGTGTTTTGTATAATTTGTAGATAAACTTCAGCTGTTTCAGTCTCCTGAGCACTTTGAGGTTCTTGAACAGAGTTGGTTACTTTTAAAAGATGCTGTTTTATCTTGTTCAGTGTTGATCAAAGGCATTTTTATATACTTCACTGGATTTCACGGATCTCTCAATAGGTCTGAGACAACGCATGTTAGTAACGTCTGTATGCAAATGAGAAATATGCACTTTAACATCAGATTTTATGGGGTAGAAAGTTACAAATGTTTTTTGTGGTCACATTTCTATGTACCTCACTTGTGTTGGAAGTAAATGCTAGCTTGCATTTTCCTATTTTGACAATTCAAATCATTCTCTGAAGGAAAATCCTACGTGGTACGTAAAGTTGTGATTAGGATGCTGACATAAAAGAAGCCTCAAAACAAGTTCGAGTTGTAAAGTTGCTAGCGTTATCACTTATGTCTCGAGAGCATTTCAGGAGGAAGACCAAAGCGCTTATTTAATTGTTTTTGTCTGCTGGGAAAAGAATGTATTTTTAGCATTATGCTTTAAAATTAATTTATTTCCCTTCAGAAATACTTTGAGTATTGTTTGGTTTTTATTGACATTTGTAATGGCTGTTTATTCTTTACAGTCTGAAAGCAGAGGCATGATTTATATGAAAGTGACTAAAGGTATCAGACTATGTTGTAATGCTCTTTCAGAAAGTCTGAATATTTAGCTTTTTTTGTGTGTTTGATGCCTTTTTTTTTTTTTAAGAAAAATAAAAAATATTATTGAATTTCTGGCTCTGTTGTTTTTTATAAGTCTTTTTTTCCAGCAGTGGGAAAAACTTTCTAAAGCATGTCATGAAACCGATAGTTTAAAATCCTGAAAAGTTTATGGTGCAATCCAATTTGATTCTCAAGGTGAAGTAAAAATATGTACATACACATGAATACATATATATGTCTATTATGAAGCCAAAGGACAGGTTAGTATGGATGATTTGAGGAAATTTATGACAGCATGCTATACTGTACATCATTCTACACTTTCTTTTTAGCTCCTTTTCAACATATGTATGTGTCATTTAAGGTAATTTTGCAACTCATCCTGTGGAAGGACATAAAAAAATGACCTCAAACTACACATAGTACACTGACAAATTTTTTTCACATTTACGTCGTCATACTAAACTATGACAAAAAATGTTCACATTTTTATGTAATCATACTAAACTCTCACTTTTTGCACTTTTTCAACGTCATACTATACTATGACAATTTTTTTCACATTTATGTTGTCATACTAAACTATGACAATTTTTTGCACTTTTTTAAAGTCATACTAAACTATGACAACTTTTTGCACTTTTTAAAAGTCATACTAAACTATGACAACTTTTTGCACTTTTTAAAAGTCATACTAAACTATGACAATTTTTTGCACTTTTTTAAAGTCATACTATACTGACAAATTTTTGCACTTTTTCGAAGCCATACTAAACTATGACTTTTTTGCACATTTTCAACTTCATACTAAACTATGACAATTTTTTTCACATTTATGTTGTCATACTAAACTATGACAAATGTTTGCACTTTTTTGAAGTCATACTACATACTATGACTGATTGTTGCACTTTTTCAATGTCATACTAAACTATGACAAAAAAAATTCACATTTTTATGTAATCATACTAAACTCTCACTTTTTGCACTTTTTCAACGTCATACTATACTATGACAATTTTTTTCACATTTATGTTGTCATACTAAACTATGACAATTTTTTGCACTTTTTTGAAGCCATACTAAACTATGACAATTTTTTGCACTTTTTTGATGCCATACTAAACTATGACAAATATTTGCACTTTTTCGAAGCCATACTAAACTATGACTCTTTTTTGCACTTTTTCAACTTCATACTAAACTATGACAATTTTTTGCACTTTTTTAAAGTCATACTAAACTATGACAACTTTTTGCACTTTTTAAAAGTCATACTAAACTATGACAATTTTTTTCACATTTATGTTGTCATACTAAACTATGACAATTTTTTGCACTTTTTTGAAGCCATACTAAACTATG